AAACCTCTGGTTGGATATGGCGATACCACCAAATTCAGGTTGTAAAACCACCACATTGCCACTGCAATACCCCCTGCAGTACCACCAAAACACTGCCCTAATATTGGTCAACAAGAGTATTACCAGCTTCTGTAAGACCTCCACAGTGCCACTGCAGTACTACCAAACTCCTACCAGAAGACCTCCTCTGCAGTACTGAAATGTCACCCAGCTCCTCTCTGGAAACCACCCTCTAAAAGGCCAGGGCCAGAGGTACCCACCTTAGTATAGGGGCTACTCCAAGCACGTCCTGCTGAGCCAACAACCCCCACCACTCATGCATTCCCAAGAAGCCCCATGGAGCAGGAGGCTCCAGCCCATACTTCAGTTACAGGCTAAATTGAGGAAGAATACATCAGTGAAACGTAGCCCACTCCAACCTACTGAGGAGCCTGCCCACTCGAGTACAATGTGTGATGTTAACACTGCAGTGGTGATTTAACTGGTGCTTTTCAGGGGTATGGATGTAATCACTCGGGGTGTGAATGTTAAGCCTTGCAGGGAAAAGGCCCATCATGTTAGTTTCATAATAAGGCAGACCAAAGGGACTCCTGACAGATTTGCATATAATGCCAAACTGTAAGTACTGTACAGTACCATGCCAGCCTGATCCACCGCTCAGAAGTAATTCTTGGTGAGCATCCTATCAAGCAAGATTAGAATCAGGCTCCACAGTCTTTCCTAGCGTTCATCACTTCAAGTCTCTTAATAGCAATTACTCAAACAAGATGTGCTTCCTTGTCCTGTTCCTGTAATCATAAATGATTATCACAGATTTAAAACATTGTCTCCAAGTGCTGGGGTGAAGGTGCAGAGCCCTTTTCACCTCTGAACAAAAAGGGGCAGACCCAAGGACCTCGCTGTGGTTGGTGTGGTGGCTGCATCCATTCCAGCTTCTGAACTTCTTAATGGACAGCCAGGGTGGTGAGCGTCTGCCAGATTTAATATTAAACAGCACATGCAAATGCATCAAAGCTATTTGGAAGCACTGTCTGATAAGGCTATATCCCACTCGTGGTGTGTGTTACTTATTGTGAACTGACCAAAGGTGAGTTGTGTGCTATGGGTGTGCCCCACATCAGACGAAGCACAAAACACAAGTCAGAAAGGTTGAACTGCAGGTTTAATCAGTTACTAATATTAAATATTTTTATGATGTGGCCACAGTTTTGTCTAGAGATAGATGAGAAATGATCTATGAATGCTTGTTATGAATGCATGCTCATCTGACAAACAAGCAGACGGGGCAGGCATGGCCTTGAAAACATTAAGATAAAACAGAATTTATTTGGGTAGAATTTGTTAGTGAGCTTTGTGCTCACTTCTGTGGGTGGAGGTTTCGAGCCTTGCAGAAGTACATGAGCCCTGGGTTCACCTGATCTCCTTGAGGCCTCTGCTGTAATAAAGCCAATGAGATAGCAGAGTCTGCACTCAGAAGAAATCTGTAGTCTTATCACTAAGGAATCGTGTTCTAACATTATTATTGTTAGTATTGCTATTTTAAATGTAAATAGCTATATACTATCTTTCTACAAGACTATCAAGCATTTCAGCAGCTAACAGAGTTGGTAACAGTCTCAGCAGCAGCCTCTCTAGTACACGTACTTTAAGAAAGAAAACTTCACAGTGAAGTTCACTCTTGGCCACCTCCCAAAGCTGCAGAAAGACAGGCTGAATAACTTTCACTCAGTGTTTCAGACTATATTGAAAGCATGAGCTGTGTCTTTTCTTTAGTGTTCTCTATGTCTGAAGACAGGAACATCTTTGTATTCACAGAATCAGGCATGGAATTCCAGGTAGGAAGGGACCTCAAGGATCATCTGGTCCAACTTGTCTTGGCAAAAGCAGGGTCTAGACAAGATGTCCCAGCACCCTGTGTATCTGAATGTTAAAGGTGTCCAAAGCTGGGGAACCCACCAGAGAGATTATTCCAAAGGCTGATTTTCCTTATTGTGAAAATTTTTCCTCTTGTGTCCAATCAGAATCTTCCCAGGAGTAACTTGTACCCATTATCCTCATATTTTTCATGTGCCTCCTTCTAAAAAAGGAGTCTCCATCTTCTTTGTAGCCACTCTGTAAATGCTGGAACATGGTGACAAGGTCTTCCCTGAGCCTTTTCTCCAGTCTGAACAAACCCAGTTCTCTCAGCCTTTCCTCAAACAACAGGCTTCCCACTCCTTGGATCATCTTTGTGGCCCTCCTCTGGATCCTCTCCAGCCTGTCCTCATTTTTTCTGCATAGCAGGGAGCAAAACTGAACACAGACTCCAGGTGTGGCCTGAGAAGAGCTGTGTACAGTGGGAAAATGACACTTTATTTCTGCTGGTGATGCCCATGTTGGTACATCCCAGCATCCTGTTGGCTTTCTTTGCCACAGCAGCACACTTCATTCACATTGAGCTTCTTGTCTGCCAGGACCTCCAGGTCCTTTTCCACAGAGCTTCTCCTCAGGCAGGTAGATCCCAGCCTGTGCTACAGTCCTGGATTATGTTTTCCAGGTGCAAGATCTTCCACTTGTCCTTGTTGAACTTAAGGTTCTTGTTAGCCCCCTCTTCCAGCCTATCCTCTCCCTTCCAAAGTATCCACTTCCCCTCTCGGTTTGGTATCATCATCAGACTTCATCGAGGTACACTTGATTCCATTTCCAGATCACTTATGAAGACAGTGAACAGTGCTGGGCCCAATATTGATCCCTGGGGGACCCCACTACTGACAGGTCAACAGTTTGAAAAGGAGCCGCCAGTTCCCACCAGTGCACACACCACTTCTCCAGGCCATAACACATCAGCTTCTCTAGGAGGAGGCTGTGGGAAACCGCACTGAAAGCCTTGGAGAAATCCAGGTAGACAACGTGCAGCTCTTGCCCTACACCAACCAAGCAGGTTTCTTTGTTGTGGAAGGCCATCAGGTTTGTCAAGCGCAATTTGCCCCTGGTGAATCCGTGCTGGCTTTTCCCAATCATATGCTTCATTTGGCTTGTGGTATCCCCTAGGAGGATTTGTTCCATAACTTTCCTGGAGACTGAAGTTAGACTGATGGGACTGTAATTTCCTAGATCCTCCAGTCTGACCCACTCAGAAATTATCTGAAAAAAAAACCCAAAAAACATATTAGGTTTTACCAGTAGTGCAAATATCTGTGAGATTTTAACATCTGTAGTTTTTAATCTCAATTCTTTGTTGTTTTGTTTCAGCATGAGTGCCAGTCATGAGATCAGTAGCTACTTCTTACTGCATCCTGTGCAAATGCTTTTTCGTGACTCACTTGGGAACAGCCCAGATCTGACACTACGAACAGTCTGCTGAGATTTCCAGGCCAGACAGAAGATATGCTCCTTGAATGAGACAACAGTATTTTTGCATCTATTTGGTCATATGTGCACCTTCTCAATTGCTACTGTGACTATGCAATGGTTTCAGCTACCTGCTAGGATGCTTAAAATTCTTGTATAAATACAGTACAGAGTTATTTATAAAATTACTGATAAAGAACAAGATCCCAGGAGTGTGATTCCTGAATGATGGGGTACTTACCCATCCCAAGTTACAGCCAGCTAAAAAAGCTGGCCTTGTGATGTTCTGGCCTGGGCAGCTCTTACAGGCAGCCTTGATGTTTACTAATTAGTGATGAGTCTTGGTAGGAAAATGCGAGCATAAAGCTTATGTTTTTAACTGGAAACTGTCTGTAATGTATGCTTTTCTGCATCTCTCTGCCAAGGGGAATGACTGTGAACGCACTGGTTCCTGCTTTTGCCAAAGCAGTGGCAGAGCCCTCCTGCATGATGGTACCTGGGATGCTGGCCAAGTGCAGGCAGCCTGTCTAAACTGAAGGATTTTCTTCATCATCCTCCAGGGCCTGGCCAGCCTCATCTTGAGTTACTGGACTCAGAAGCTACAGCAGTCCTGGCGAGCCAAACTGTGTCAGAGGGCAAAATTGAAGAAATGGTGTGCCTGTCATCAGTGCCGCTCCAGATGTTAGTGCAGCTCCTGGAAAGCTGAGGGCTGCACTGCCCAGTGGGCCCAGTTGGGCAGACAGCATGTGCCAGAGACCAATGCCCCTGCCTCATATAATGAAGCTGCCTCAGCTTTGGTTCCCTCCATAACATCACTTACCTGCCCACATGTTATCATGTGAAAACCCCACTCTGATGGCCTCTGTACAGCGTTCACACTATTGCAGGTATTTTCAACTGAAGAAAAACATACTAAGGTAATAACCATCTGGAGGCCACTTGGGGAGAAGACTTCACAACCAGCTGTGCCTTGTCTGACATGCCCTGCTGGCATTCAGCAAGCAAATCTAGAAGAGGGTCATAAAGATGTTCAGAGGGCTGGAGCACCTCTGCTAAGAAGACAGGCTGAAAGAGTTGGGCTTGTTCAGCCTGGGGAAGAGAAGGCTCAGGGGAGACAGTATAGAAGCCTTCCAGCCCCTAAAGTGGGCGTAAAAAATGCTGGAGAGGGACTTTTTATGAAAGCAAGTAGTGATAGGACAAGGGTTAATGGATTTAAACTGAAAGAGGATAGATTCAGAAGTTCTTGACTGTGAGGGTGGTGAGGCACTGGCACAGGCTGCCCAGAGAAGTTGTGGGTGCCCCATCCCTGGCAGTGTTCAAGGCCAGGATGGACAGTCTTGGGCAACATGGGCTAGCGCAAGGTGTCCCTGTCCATGGTAGAGGTGTTGGAGCTGGATGAACTTTAAGGTCACATTCAGCCCACATTCAGCATTCTTTGATTCTGTGACTCAACATGCCCTGCCGGCTCTGCCAGACATGGCCATCACTGCAAGCCTGTGGCAGTGGAGATGCTGTGCTTCATTCAGATGTCACCACTGCTGATGCGGTTGGCTCGGGGCAGCTAAAAGACTTGCTCAGATGAAAGGAAAAAAAGTGAAAGTTTTGTCTGGCCCTGCCCTCCCCACGAAGCTCTGTGGTGCAGGGAGAGGGTGGAGACTCCCTTGGGTAACAGAGCGCAGGGAACCCAGCTCACGGCTCGCAGCCGTCTTGCAGCAGATGTGATGACACGGGTGGGACTGCCCTGCCCTGCAAGCTGAGCGAGCCACCGGGGCTGCCTTCCTACACACCACGCTCTTCTCATCTCTGCCTCCTGCTTCCTTTCCACCACCTCTGCCGCTTCCTCAGCAACCCTGCAGCACTGACCCAGACCTGCTGCTGGTAAGTGAGCTGGTAGCAGCAGTTCAGCCCTTTTATTAAGATATAGATAGATAGATAGATAGATAGATAGATAGATAGGTTTAATTCGGGGTAGTGACTTGCTTTCTCATCCATGAATTGCTTATGCTGCCATTGCTAAGGAATTATATTCAACAGCTGCTTCCCTCCAATAGCCAAGGAAAACACAGAAAAATGCTTGCTACATTTTCCTAGCTTTTCAAGGGAAATTAATAAAAATATGTTTTATAAATGGGGGACAAAAGCCTCAAGGCTTAAAGTAAAACCACTAAAAAGGTGAAAAGTTAGACTATTTTGCAGGAGCTCCCATACTCAGAGTTTGCCCATGCATGTTAATGCACTGCAGATAGCACACGTGCAAATGCCTGCACACACAGGGTGCTGTTTACTCAGTCCCCAGTTAACACAGAGGGCTCTTTTCACAGAAGGTAGGTTACAAATCCCTAGTAAATCAGTTGGCAATTGACTTACAGATTGCCTGAATCGCATTATCCTTTTTTACTCAAATGGTTTTAACTGCCTACACATGTTCCTGAGGAAGATGACTGTATGGTCCTGGGCTGGCAGTGCTAGGCTGTACTGTCCTCTTTGTGTTGACCACATCCATTCTCTGGCCAGTCTACACCCCTGCAAGTGCATGTGAGTAGGGGAAATAAAGGTATGCTTCCAACCTCTCTGAATTTATATGTATCCAAAGCCTAAAATGTGCATCTGTAGTACATGGTACTGTTTCAGCTTGCAGGTTGCAAGACTGAACTTTGTACCCATTAAAACTAAGAGAAATAATAGCTCACTTAATTGTGGTTTCTCTGACAAGTTCAAGTATTCAGAAAAAAAGAAAACAGGCTATTTTTTAAGGGGGTTGTGACAACTTCCTTTAGAAAACTCTGCTGGAAAATGCCCATGTCTCCAAGATTCTTCCTTCTAAAGTAATTTCAGTGCTTATTCTCAATAGAGAAGTACTTTGAATAACTGCCTGGATTTAAAAACAAAACAAAACAAAACAACCCCCAAATAATTAAAAACCCTTTAAAATGCACTTCTGAATTTTGCCATTCAAAATTTACTACAACTCCTGTGCTATTGCTTTCTTCATTTGAACTACAAATCCTGCTGGTGCCAAAAGCTTTGCTGGAAGACTGGCAGGAATGAATGCTACTTAGCTTTCTGTATAGACAACATATCTTAAAGCATACAAATAATTCACTGAAATTGCTTGACAGACTCCAGACATGGTATTGCTGTGGTTGAAGTCTGTTTAAGTCAATGAAACTTTGCAGTATATTTTGTTGTTGTTTGATGTTTTTAGTGTCCCTGTGTCTGTAGGGGAAAATGACACTTTGTACTTTAGATGTCTCAGAAGAATACACAGGAAAGTGACTGTATGAGACCTTCATTTTTTGGGCATCACAACAGTCAGTGGTCAAAGTGACCTTAAGAAAGCAGTTTAATTTTGCCATTAATTAAAGGTTAAATCTCAAGATCCAGTAGTTTGCCTACTGACAAATTATTATGACACTGTCTCTGAAGAAAAGGGGTTTGTATTGGGCTTGAACTGAAATTGATGCTGGCAATAAAAACATTTTGGAAAAAAATGAAATTTGTAAAATTCCTAAAGAGTTCATAGATTTTTATATTTAGCTAATGCAAAAATAATGTATTATATCCAGAGCTAGTATCATGAGGATATGAAATGCATTAACAAATATTTCTGAATACAGCAGACAGTATATGTTGTCATTGAATCTTCTGCTTATTTCTGATCTGAAGTAGGTATTTGTATGACATTGACAATGAGTTCTAGGAAACTTCATTTAAAGAATTTTAGTTTGCAAAGAAGTTGATTTGATTAACATTCATCATGCCTGTTTCTTTGTCCTGCACGTGCTCTGACTTAAAATGTTTTGTGGTTGTTTGTCACATTAAATGTAATAAATAATTCTTTAAACAAGACCTAAAGCAATATTCTAAAAAATCCATTCCTGAAGAGCTATTGCAAAGAGTCAACAGTTATATGAGCTGTAAAGGCTCATGTCCTTGTACTCCTGTGGTGAAGTTTATCACTAGATCAAAAATTGAAAGGTTGGTTTCTACAATACCAAACTGTTTATCTCACTGCAAATACTTACCCACAGTGTAAAAAAAAGGTCTCCAAAAAAAAAGAAAAGCAAATCAAAAGCCTAACTCTAGTACACAGGTATAATTTCCACTGTTAGCACTTCATCTTCTCTCAGCACACTGTTAGCCAAGATCCAAATTTCCACTCTCGGTGGTTTCCATGAGTTACCCACACAAAGCCAAGGCTGCCCTAATCTTGTGGTGACAGCCCCAGTAAGAGGGTAGAAGTTGGGCCGTGGGCCTTCCCAAGGCTTCTTCGCACCAGCATGTCCAGAACTGTTTCATTTTGTCATTCCATGGAGCTGCTGTGATGAAGTCCTTGCGACAGTTAGTTACGCTCCTTTGAGAAGAGAGACGGCTAGCACAGATTTCATACAGCAACAGAGAAACAACCATTCCAGTTTTAAGCGGATGAGTATTCTTCAGTTTCTTTCTGTAACAAATTCTAGTAGTTCTGAAACGGTAAAATTATTTTTAGTATTAACCCAACATCTGAAATAGATTTTTTTTTCCTTTAACTCTGATAAATGGTGTATGCCCACAAATACACCTTTGCCTGAAAAGGCAGCCATCAGGAAGAATAGCACACAGACAAATCCATGTCTTCCAGCTAGAGCATCCTATCCTATCACTGCAAGCAACAGAAGCTCACTGCAGCTATGAGGAGCCATGCTGATTTACATCAGAGGTCTAGCTAGAATGTATCCAGCCTCTGCTTATCGCTGCCAGTAACCAACTCCTTCACCAGAGACAGTATCAAAGAACGCTATTTTTCCCTGAGAGATTTGGACAGTTGGTGGCCTCAGGCTCTCCTGAACTGGAGGTTTCTGGTCGACAGCTGTATTAAATAGCCATTGAGAAACTGTCTGCTATGGATATGTCTAATCCTTCTCGTAACTCGTTTATTTATCTTGCTTGTGCAGTGTTCTTTGCAGGGATGTGTACAGTCTAGTCATAGCTCAATTGGTAAATTAAATTTAACTTCAAAGTACTGTCTGTTCTTAAGAATGACTGTGAAAGTTGTGTGATCCTGTGTTTATGAAAATAGATTCTGATTCTGTGCTTATTGTCTGCCAGTCAGGTTCAGTCTGGAAGATTAACTCTGTTTCATTCCTACATGAAAAGTTTGTTTTCTAAAGAGCATTTCTGCAATTTCTGTACAAAACTTTTCTGAGTTAGGTTTTGTTGCTGGTTTGTGAAAGAAAAAAAACACCTAAACCCCAACAAAACAACTAACAAATGAAACAATGAAGAATTTAATTATTCTGCTGATAATACTGGAGGTCAGACTCCACTTTCCCCCATTTGCTCATAATTTTATATCAGCAATACTGAAACATTAAGCTGAGAAAAAAATCTGATGAGTGAAATACTGTTCTCATATGCTGAGTGTTTGGTACTTTGCTTGGCATACTAGCGAACATCTGCTCAGTGTGTGGTGCGACTTCCAGCAGAAAGTTCCCACTGTGGTTCTGAATGCACGTCTCTGCTTTACCAAAGCATCCTTGCAAATGCCAGTGTTTGATGTCAGCCAGGTTAGCCCAGGAATTACTAGATAAATAGCCTTAAAAAAATTAACTGCCCTCCTAACAGGTAGGTAGGTCTCCTCCAGCACAAGTAGAAAAAGTGTAGGCAGTTTATCAATAACAGGCTTCCAGTCTTTAAATGTTGCACATTTAATTGATGTTCAACTTACTTAAAATCCATTTTAGCTAAAATTAGAGCTAGACCCATTATAATTATATTTTGAACATGGTTTCTTTTCGTTCTAGGAAAATTGGGCCAGGATTACTGCTTACTAAACCAGTAAGACCTTGTATATTCACCAGCACAGAAGACTGCAGTTTTGACAGAAAACGCAACCTTGGGCTAGATTTGGGATAGCATCACTGGGAGACAGATGAACCCTCCTTTATGTGCATATAGGCTTGTTGCTGAAAGTAGGGCTTCCAGGGGTTTAACAGTGCTGATAGCCACAAAGGAGAGTTCAGCTGTCTGGTCAGGCACCCTTAGCAAACTAACAAAATAAGGGCTTGGTTTTTTATGCGATCATATGATTGTGTTAGATTAAACAGCTTTTTTTTATGTCTCTTTTTATTAACTGCTCTCATACTAATTAAACGTTTCTGAAACAGTCTCATAATTTGCCTTCTACCTTGCTGCAAGCTAGGGTGCAGGACTGATCATCCCAGAGCTCCTAGCTGCTCATCTTCCCTCTCCGTTCTCATGAGCTACTGCATTAATAACGTGTCCTGTAGTGACAGCTAGAGTTATTAGACTCAGGTGAGTCAACATGATATATAAAGAGAGGCCATATCCTGCCTCCCACCTAAATAGCCCTGTGACACTTAGGAAGCACAAAGGGGACAAAGGTCTGCCTGCACAGGGGGACGCCCCTGCAGTGCAGGTAGATGGCTCATAGGGAAGAGCCTGTCTGACGGGGAAGTGAGCTAACTTTAGTTATTCCACAACTACCTTCTAGTTATTAGATGGAAAGCAAATCCAAGGAAGAGAGTTACTTGGTAGCGGTGTCAGTTTCCATGTTGCTATACTGTTGGCAAAATTATTTGGATTAAAAAATAACCAAACAATTTTAGATTCTGTTACCTTTACTCAGGAGTGCTAGAGGTTGGAGGAGCATCTTTACTTTCAAACCACCTCTTTAAAAGAGTATCTAATAGGCAAACATTAAGCACATTCAAAACTAGAAAGAAGGCTGATGAAGTGGACAGGCAGAAGGTCATTTTGGACCTCAGTAATTTTGAGCAAGTTTTTCAATGAGTCACCTGTTGTACCTGTGGTTTCCAACAAGAATGCAGTTTATGTACAGCCCTCTCTGCCAGGGGCAGCCCTCCCGAAGGAGCATAATGTCATGCTAGTGTCTGCTGTGAGAGGTATCTACTTCCATGTGCCAGGAGAATAGATGTAGTTGGTACCCATGGCCAGATGCTGGTTCAGTGAGGTCCTGGGGCGGAGGGAGGAGGGGTTGGTGTCACTGCGAAAGGACCTGGGGTTGCTCCATGCTGGACACAGCTGCCTCCAGCTGGGACTAGCAGACCCACCACTGGCCAAAACCAAGTGTGTCTCAGTGATGCTGGTAGTGCCTCTCTGAACACCTGTTTAAGAAAGGGTAAAAGATGCTGTGCAGCAGCTGTGAGAGAGGAGTGAGAAAATGTCGGAGAAACAGCCCTGCAGATACCAAGGCCAGTGAAGGAGAGGGAGGAAATGCTCCAGTGGCTGGAGCAGTGGTTCACCTCAAGAGGGCAGCAGCTGGGTGGGCATCAAGGTCAACCCACCACAACAAAACCATCAGGGTGGAGGGAGAGTCTTCTACATCCCTAATACTGCAGGGGTGTGTGGCAATATGGCAGACTCGGCTTCTCATCAGCTCTGTGAAATCTCCAGGTCTGAGCCCACAGGACGCAAACTTCATGTCTGAAGGAAAGAGACATAGATGGACATCTACAAGTTTCACAGTAGGTCCAGTGCCGAACCCTGGATCCAACAGACACATCTTTCCTCTCTGTACCTAATTGAATCTTTCCCATCCTTGTTTTTTCATTTCTAGAGGAAGGATGGCAGAAGGCCAGCCACACTTAAGTATTCAGATGTCAGACTTGAATACAAATGGCACCCCCAGCAGAAAGCAGTCCTCTGCAGACTTAGCTGTTAGGGGAGGAAGCGTACTCACTTTCCACAGCATCTCCTACCACGTGAAGATGAAGACTGGGTTCCTGTGTTATCAAAAAACAGCTGATAAAGAAGTTTTGAGAGATGTCAAGTACGTATTTAAACATCTCTTTAGAGCATGTTTATGTAGTTTTTCTTTCTGGACTGTTGAGCCTACTCGAGTCACTGAGCCACTAAGCACAATATACAGAATTTGATCAAGATTAGAAAAAATGTGTGCATGTATGGTTCCTTTGTGTTTGCTATCTACTGTGCTCAAGCTTCCCAGTGGGTCCCAGTGGTCCTCAGTCATTAGGCTTGTACAATAGTACTAGTCTGTACAATAGAGAGCTCACACTGCTGGCACCCGAGAGGGACAGCCTTCTTGACTGCTAATCGGCATAGGGGCATACAAGCCAGCTGTGGTTGTTCTACACTACTTGGCAAGTCTCCCACTGTGCTGTGGTGTGTAACTGAGATACCAACAGCCTGTCCCCAATGCTTGCATCTCCTTTGCTAAGGTAGCCTTTGGGAAGGTTAATTTTGGGGGTTTTCACTTAAAGTGTTTGATACAGTAATATAAATGAGGATTAGGTTAACTTTGAAGATATTTGAAGTTTTCTCCCATCCCCAACATTGAGCACTACTGCAGTAAAGCGATCACATTATTATGGCCTTTGTTCAATAATATATGCATAAAGTTTGTCCATTCATAGTTCAGTAGTTAAGCTAAGTGGCAAGCACTCGTACAGTATGCCATTCCAAGGCACACATGACTTTCAGCTCCCTAGCCCCAATCTCTATCATAAATATTCAACCTTTTGTGTAGCTCTGTCTGTCCCACTCTTTGCACATGCAATTTCCACACCTTCTAAACATGAGCTCTTAAAATCTTGCCTACTTTCCTCAAGAGGCGTAAGTTATGGTAACTCAATTGATTGACATTGGTCATTTGCAATAATGTGAACAGAAGGCCCATTTTGTGGCTTATTGTAAAAGATGGATGTTAAACACGCATTATGCTTTTCTCTTTTAGAAAATGCAACATCTGCATTTATTTTATTACATATTGTTATTTTGTGTTAAAATCACATAAAATGTATACCATAACTTGTGTATAATCTATATGCTTCTTAACCTGTGGAACCATAAATTTTCACAATGACAAATTGAAGGCAACAATTACAGGAAGGAACAAATATGCTCAGGAAGAGCAAAAGGGGCAGCAGTTCTGGGCCAGGTCCACAGCCAAGTACTCAGATCACTGATAACAACCAGTACCAGAGTGCAGTTCAAGATAAACCTAGTATCATAAAAAGCAGGCAAGTATTTATATGTGCAATGTGATTCTTGTGTACACCAAAGTTTGTTGAGCATGCATTTTTAGGGGCTAGTCAGGAAAAATAGCAGTTATACCTTCACATTCTCCATTGTCCTGGTTTTGGCTGGGATAGTTAATTTTCTGCCTAATAGCTGGTGCAGTGCTGTGGTTTGGATTTAGTATGAGAGAATAATGCTGATAACACACCAATGTTTAGTTGCTGCTAAGGAGTGCTTACCCTCATCAAGGACTTTTCAGTCTCTCATCCTTTACCATTGAGGAGCCGCACAAGAAGCTAGGAGGAAGCAGAGACAGGACACCTGACCTGAACTAGCCAAAAGGGTATTCCATACCACAGCACATCATGCCCATTATATAAACTGGGGAGAGCCAATGATCGCTGCTCAGGGCTGCGTTGGGCATTGGCCAGTGTGTGGTGAGCAATTGTGTTGTGCATCACTTGTTTTTCTTCAGTTTTATTCACCTTTTCCTTTTTAATTACTATGCCTATTATTATTATTATTTTACTTTATTTAAATCATTAAGCTGTTCTTATCTCAGCCCATGGTTTTTACCTTTTTTCAATTCTCCTCCCCATCCCACCAGGACAAGGGGAGTAAGCAAGTGGATGTGTGGTACTTAGCTGCTGGTTGGGCTTAAAACACAACATCCAGCAAAAAGATAGAGAGAAGGCAGCTGTTTTTCCATATACTGAGTAATTTCTGTAGGGTCTTTTTCCCCAATACTTAATCTTTTCTATCTGGCCTTTGAGTTCCATGTGGCTTAAAATTGGATACAGAGGAACTATCAATCAACTGCAATTTCTGTAAGTGCAGACAAATCCCTAATATATTCTGTCTTTAGGGCCATTATTCTCTCTGATAAGAGAATAATACTGTGAGAACTGAATGGGTTAAAATAAGTGGTTGCTTCACTTCTAGAGATTCATGGAAGAAAAGTATGCATACCAGTTTTGCTATATTTTACTCACAATTTCTGTATTCATTGTACAAGGAGTAGTTCTTGAATTAGGAATAAAAAAAAAAAAAAAGGTGGAGTTTGACAGATCATAAATATTGCTTGTGATCAGGCAGCTTCATTAATTCCAAAATTAATGGGATGCAGAATGTAGTTCTACAGGTAATTTACACTAGCCTACCAGGTGACACAAGAGACAAGATCACCCATCTATTTTATAAAACCTATCTGTTTTGTCTTACAGTGGCATCATGAGACCAGGACTGAATGCAATTTTGGGACCCACTGGCAGTGGTAAAACTTCGTAAGTTCCCTCTTTGCCCTACTCAGAAATTACACCAAGGAGAGAATGACTCTGCACATATTTAGCAGTAATGGACAATACTTTCAGGGAAAGATTTTGTTTTCATTTAGATCTGTGCATATCTCACTGGTTTCTGAGAAATACCTGAATTCAAATAAGACAATCACCTTACATGACACAGATGTAATTCAATTTTAGTCCACACTTTCCTGAGACACGATCCTTATGTATCATTCTTGGGTATGCTATAGAACAAATGGACACAAATGCACTATGAAATTGCACAGATATAATTTCTTAGGAAACCAAGACAAGAGAAACTCAGCCCTTGAAAGTGGCTGGGTTTTTTCTAAATAGCTAAAAAAATCCATGGGATACTTTCATGTAGCTTTGTGTTCCATGAACTGGGTTTGTGGTTCAGGGAGCTTATCTCCTGCATACTCATCTGATGAAGTAACCAACTTTTCTCCTAGTCTGCTCGACATTTTGGCTGCAAGGAAGGATCCCCAGGGGCTTTCTGGTGACATTTTGATCAACGGAGCTCCTCAGCCTGCCAACTTTAAATGTACCTCTGGATACGTAGTACAGGTAAGTATTTTTTATCACTCTATCGATTTTACTGTCCTCTTCTGACTGCAGTTGCAAGAAGTTGCTGCTGTGTTCCAAGCACATTGCGTTGAATCAAGAATCAAGGCTGGTGTGGTATCAACTCTTCTTCACACATCCACCCTCACTGGAAAAGATACTTTGCTTTGTGTTTGGATCTCTTTCCTTAATGCTCTAAGTCAACAGGAGCAGGCTCTTTGGATCTGTTCTTGTTCTCCATTTGGGTGAACAGCCATAGGCTAAAAATATGCATGGAGTATTTTCTAAGTATGATGCTTTCTAGTAGTCTACAGCTTGTACCTCTGCATGCCCAGGGACAATGTCACTAGGTCTCATTTTAAGAACAGCTTTGTTCTGCTAGGGTGTGCTGGGGAGAAAGACATGTGAAGGACAAAAGAAGGAAAACTGTATCTCCTAATTTCTTCCCCTCTCCACTAACCGTGCTTAGCAGCATGCTTGCAGTTTATCAAGACCTGAAGAGATACATCTGTGAAAACCCCTCAAAGCACACATAACTCTCTGAACTGTCTACAGCTCACAGATCCCTTTTGCAAGAGACAAGCAGCTAATACTGAAAAAAAACTACCCTCCTTCTCCTTTGCTGAAACAAGCTTGGAAAACCTTCACCCTACCCCCTGTGGAGCCAACATCTCCTTCCTTAGGTCCCTTTAGCCCTTCAGTATCTCACTTAATGCCTCCAAAACTCTGACTAAGGTAAGAAGAGGCGAGGGATAGTTTTAAATACGTCATTATTTGTGCATTTGGTATCATGCATGATGGAGGATGTTCCTGTACTGCATTGTTTTATGAATAAAGGCAAATACAATTACGTGCATGAAATCAACTCTGCTATGACAGACATTGAAGATGCACCTTACTGCATGTTCTGGCAGTTGCTACCATCCCTTAGCATGCAGGGACAACATAAAAGACAGGTAGATGCAGTTTTCAGAGGAAAAAAATAGAATTGCTAAGTGATCACCAAGTAGCTAAATTTGCCTTATTTTGTTTTGGTTTTTTTAAATGAAGGATGATGTGGTGATGGGAACCTTAACTGTAAGAGAAAATTTGAAGTTCTCAGCAGCAGTCCGTTTGCCAAAGTCAGTGAAGGAATATGAAAAAAATGAACGAGTGAATCAGATCATCAAGGAACTGGGTTTGAGTAAAGTGGCAGATTCCAAGGTAAGGTGTGTGAGTATGGTGCTTAAATCATGAACAAATCATAGAATCATACAATGGTTTGGATTGGAAGGGACCTTAAAGCTTATCCAGTTTCAACCCCAATGCCGTGGGCAGGGACACCTCACACTAGACCAGGTTGCTCAAAGCCCTGTCCAATCTGGCCTTGAACATTGCCAGGGATGGGGCGGCCACAGCTTCTCTGGGCAATCTGTGCCAGTGTCTCACCACCCTCACAGTAAAGAATTTCTTCCTACTATCTAATCTAAATCTCCCCTCTTTCAGTTTAAAGCCATTGCCTCTTGTCCTATCACTATCTGCCCTTGTAAAAAGTCACTCTCCAGCTTCCTTGTAGGCCCTTTTTAGATATTGGAAGGCGGCTCTAAGGTCTCCCTAGATATTAAGTGATTTCTTTAATTAACCAAATGGCTCAGCTTGGCAGATAAAAAAAAGAGTAAAATTAAATAGACTATTTTGGTAATACAATAACATTTCTGTACGGCGATCTGCATAGACACCGCTGTAATACTGGCATATACTCTTATATTGAGGGGAAGGGAAAGGTAGTCTGTTGCTTGAGAAAAAAAGAGAACACCTCAAGTAATACTGATGTTGAGAGCTGGCCTGTGTGAGGTACCATCTACATCTGCACTGAGAGCAGGGTCAAAATTTCTTACAACATGACCATGTCAGCAGGATGCTGTTCACTCAAGTATTTGTTCTCAGGCCAAACAAGACAAGTTTCTTGTTCTGTGGCAGGTTGGCACCCAGTTCACTCGCGGGGTGTCTGGAGGAGAGCGCAAAAGGACCAATATTGGGATGGAGCTCATCATAGATCCTGACATCTTGTTTTTGGATGAGCCAACTACAGGACTTGATGCCAGCACTGCTAATGCTGTTCTACTGCTACTGAAAAGGTGATGGCCTTGGAAACAGCTTCCCGTTTTCATCACTCACTCTGCTACATTTCAGTTGTATTTGACTTAAATCACAGCTAGAATAGGCAAACAGGGAAATCAGAAATGTAATCATTTACAAGTGAGCCAAGGTGCAAAAAGATTTAGGAAAAAGGATGTATAAATTCTCTCACTCCAAAGCAGCTGCTTATGGCAGTGCACAAAACATCTTGCACAAAGCATGTGCATGCCAGGACTACAATTTGTCCAGGCAGCTTCCTTTTTCATGTCTGCCTGAGCCAGAAAAGTAATTAAAATGCCTGTTGTCTGGTAAAGTGGTCAGTTTTAATATGGACAGTAGGTAGAATACAGCTGGCTGTTTTGCCATCAGCAAAAAGTCTATCTTTGGGAAAACAAGCACAACATGTTTTTCGTTTGCAAATTTTACATAGTTTTGCATTTACTACAAGCAAACAGGACTCAAACGCCTCTTTTCAGAGCTTTCTGTTTGCATCAAAATCTTCCCCTCCAACACTCCCAGTGACAGAGAACCTTCTTTTCTCACAGAGGCACTACAAATATTACCCGAATATTTTCTTTTTTTTTCTTTCTCCCCACCCCAGCCTACTTAGTTAAACAAATTTAACTGAGGCTTAACTAAACTTGCAAATTCTCTTATCTAAGGGCTTAATCAAACTTGCAAAACTAACATCTCTTTTTGTTCTTCACATTCAGGATGGCAAATCAAGGTAAAACTATAATCTTCTCCATCCACCAGCCTCGGTACTCCATATTCCGACTGTTTGACAACCTGACACTGCTGGCTGCAGGGAGGGTGCTGTACCATGGCCCCACTCAGCATGCCATGGATTACTTCCAGTCTGTCGGTAAGCATAACTAACAGCAGGGCCAACTGCAGCAACATCTTTAGTTTGCACTAAAGTGAATGAAATGCCAACAGCGCTTGATCAGAATTGAGCATTGTGTATTAGCAAGCAGTGATTTTAACAGGCTAAGCATTTTTCTTGTTGTTTCACCTCTGGACCCATATGTGATTTGGATGATAGGCCTGACCTCTAATCAACTGTTCCTGAGCTTATCTTAATTAGACAAAGCCTAGGCTAGAGCTGGGAAGGGCACATTGCCAGCTGTCACCTTGCTTTCACTGATAGAGCTGTCCAGCAATGCCATTCATCTCTTGGATAAGCACAGACCTTTTGAAGCCTGCAGTGCTTACAGTACAGGCTGCTCAACCAGCACAATAATGTGCCTGTGAACTGTCAATCTGTGCTTGCAGCCCAGAAAGCCAACCTGGACTGCATCAAAAGTAGTGTGAGCAGCAGGTGGAGAGAGGTGATCCTGACTCCCTACTCTGCTCTCGTGAGACCCCACCTGCTGTACTGCATCCAGCTCTGGGGCACCCAACATAGGAAGGACATGGACCTGCTGGAGTGACTCCAGAGGAGGGCCATGAAGATGCGCCAATGGCTGGAGCACCTCTCCTATGAAAACAGGAGGGAAGAGTTAGTCTTCTTGAGCCTGTAGGATAGAAGGCTCAGGGGAGACCTTACAGCAGCCTTCCAGTACCTGAACGGGGCATACAAGAAATCTGGAAAGTGACTTTTAATAAGAGCAAGTAATGATAGGACAAGGAGTAATGGGTTTAAACTGAAAAAGGGTAGATTTTGATTAGATAGTGGGAAGAAATTCTTCACTGTGAGGGTGGTGAGACACTGGCACAGGTTGCCCAAGGAAGTTGTGGCTGCCCCATCCCTGGCAGTGTTCAAGGCCAGGTTGGATGGGGCTTGGAGCAACCTGATCTAGTGGAAGGTGTTGCTGCCCATGGCATTGGGGTTGGAACTGAATGGTCTTTAAAGTCCTTCCAACCCAAAGCATTCTATGATTATGATAGCCATGCACTGCCTTCTGCCAGTCACACAAACACCTCTTAAAGCTTGTAATGCTGTCACCGCAGGCTACGAGTGTGAGCCATACAACAACCCTGCTGACTTTTTCTTGGACATCATTAATGGAGACTCCACTGCAGTGGCACTGAGCAAGACCAATGAAACTGAGACAGGTATAAAACAAAGAGCTGTATGAAATTGTTGTCACGTGTATTTTGTCAGAAGAAATCACTTGCAGGTGTCAACCAGTAACCATATTGTACAAGCACATGATTGTTTGTATGCATGTGAGTATCACATACTGATGATCCATGGTGCTTTGTAGGAAAACCCCTCATAGTACTCTTAAATCCTTTTTGTTTATGCATGAAAACCAATTAGCATAACCTGAAATAAGTACCAAATTCACATAGTCCTACTACATAAAATATTCATGTCGTGTGTGAGACTAGTTTGCCTTTCATAAATAGATATTTAGTAATTTTTCATTGCTATCGATTTCTTCATATGCAGTGATCTGCATACTTTTGTGTCACACTCAAATAACAAGATGTTAAAGGTGAAAGAATATCTTTCTGCATTGAAGGTGTAATACATGGGAAAATAAACTATTTTGTTACCTCTCAACACAGATAAAGACCTTTCATCTTTGACGTAAATGAACTGGAGTCCTGCCAGAGAGATGATAAACCAGGAGAGTTGTTACAGTTAGGGACATAATTTGATGTGGTTTTGACCTGTATTTTTACCTAATGGAATAGTCTGTCTGTTATGAAATTACCGTTTTCCTTCCTCAGAGTAGGGTGGGAAAGGAGGAAGGAGATAGGGGACCAGTGTTCTGAAACTGCTCTGAAGCTGTGGTAAGGCAGAGATGATCCCAAAGTAAGAAAGCAAATCTCACCTATGTTCAGTAGCATGTTTTTTCATCCTATCTGTTGCTACTCGTTAACAGCACACTCCTTTCACATGAATGAAAAGGGAAATGTAGTATGAAGTAATAAATATGCTCTGTGCCCAAACACAGATTTTCACTGTATCTTTACCAAAGAAGCAGCATTTTACAAAAATGATGTCTGTGTTCAGGGTTTGACTAATGTTATAGCTGGCAACACGTTGTATTTGTCATTGGAAAAGGACACACTGTCCTACAGTTGAGATTAAAGAGTCCAGCTGAAATTTCTTGGAGACTTGACAGACTCAAACGTTTTACTGAAGCAGACACATGCAGGATTACCTGGATCTAGAAGTCTGAGAGGTGTAGGATTGTCTCATCAAATCTGCGAAACAGACCTCTTACAGAAACCCAAGGGGGTGTGGGGATGAAAATTCAGACTGTTGTGAGTTTGAAACTTCATTGGTGACAAGGGTTTACCTACAGTAGTCTGCTGTGAAGCTGCTGCCTTGGGACATGTTGCACTGACAAACATAGAGATTTGGTCTTATTTGTACTGACTCTTTTGACTTGTATGCTATGAGACTGAGTGCAATGAAACACTGAAACTAAATGTACACATTAATTCTGCTTCGTTAGTTAACTCTCCCACCCCAACATAACTCTCCTGGCTTACCTCCCAAACAACCTTCCCATCCCTTACAGAAACAGTTGTATTTCTTTCCATTTTTTTCAGCAGAGAGCACTGAAGAACACACTGAATATGATTTAACCTTGGCTGAGAAGTTAGCAGAAGAATACTTCAACTCTGCCTACTACCAGGAAACAAAAGCTGTATTAGAGAGTATTTCTTCAGGAAATAAAAAGAAAACAAAAGCAGTTTTCCAGCAAATCACGTATGCCAACTCCTTCCTTCATCAGCTGAAATGGGTGTCCAAGCGCACATTTAAAAACCTGATAGGAAACCCTCAAGCTTCCATAGCTCAGGTAACACTATTTGTATATACCCTTTTGTGACATACATTGCATTTATTCCACTCCTGTGTTAGATAATTCACTGGGATAATTTTGCCTGTTGATATTTTAACTGCAGTAAGCATCCAAAAGAAGAGTTTTCAAGGTCTGGAAATCTGATTCACTAGAAGATGTCTTAAATGCTTCCAAATGAGCAGCATGAGGGTCTGTTCAGTAATTTATTTTGGACTACTGAGAGGCTGGGAGGCAAGATCTTGTCCAGCAGGGTATTCTGCTGCTCCCAGCCAGGGACAGGGTATCTCCCAAGTAGTTTCACACATTAACTCAAGAACATTCTTCAGACTTGACTTCAGGCTTGGCACTGTGGGGTTTGGCCACAGATTTTCTTCCCTGCCAGGGAAAGTTAACAGACTACACTTGGATGCTTAACTGAACTTCAGCACACAATGAAGTGCTGCAGTTTGCTCAAGTGTAAAAGTATTTTCACAGTCTCAGAATGTGTGTGTCGTTTGGTCATTTCACTGTTCCTAATGGCAATGATGTCTTTTGGAGAAGACATGATGAAGACCTCAATAGAGACTAACACCTGCCAGAAAAGGTGAGCATGTTCTAAATGACTGGCCCTCTCAGTGCTTTTCAGAAGAACCAACACTGAAAATGTTGATTTCTTGAAAGCTGCACATTGCTTTCAAAAACAAAGAATGCCTGGCTGCAGAATAACTAATCCTCAGGAATCCCCTAATTCATGGGCCAAACTTTGCAGTCCCAGCACCACCAAAATTTGCAATTCTAGAAGAGCCAATAGAAAAATTGATCCCAAGCCAGGGGTATAAATTATCTTCACCGTGATTTATACAATGAGTGAACAAACATCCAATGTGGAGAAGAAATGAGCCCAGAATGCCCAAGGTTAAAAGGCTTTAAGTATGTGTGTGTGCCTGTATGTTGATACTATGAAGATCCTTAATAATTGCATTGTAAAAGCTTGACCTTGTGACAAGAATTAGATTCTCAAGGATCTCATAATGCCCTATAGTTAATGGTCCTGACTTGTTTCTCACAATCTCTTTTATCTCCCCTCCCTCGTTAGGGATGGATTTTACAAGCATTCTTTTTATGGGTACTTGGCTCACTAAGCCTTCTTTCAATAATCTGCTCCAAATTGGTCTTGATATGATCCCAGCTTTCCACTGTAATTGGTTTAGGAGCCAAATAATCCCTGACATTTGCTCCTTTCTGCAGGATCTTAGCCATAGGGTACCATGGATCAAATGGTTTATAGTGTTAAGACTCATGCACTGCTTGGGCTTAAAATGTCAGAACTGCCTGATACTGTCAGTCTTGCTGAGATTTTTGTCATTTGCATTTAGTGTGATGTACACATTTCTGTCTTTTCAATGACATCCTTGAGGCAGCTGGTGTCTTTGCAATTTAAATGGTGTGCCAGACTGCAAATACCACGGCACCTGTAGCCTGATCATGGTATGTTGCTCATGTTAAAAACAATCCCATGAATAAGATATGTAATATTGCCCTGCAGTTACACACTGTGGAGCATGTAAATAAACTGTCAATCCCAACCCACCATTCAGGAAAGGCTTCTTTCGGTTATTGGTTGCTAAGATCAAAGTAGCATTGAGATGGCTCCAGAGAAACCCCTGCAGAAGCACTCGACTAGAGCCATGGTCAGCCCTTGAACTGAAGCAATCCTTATCACTGAGAGCAGATAGGGAATCATTGTCTGTCCCAAGGAGGATGAATGATGGAGAGGATAAGCAGGGAGAGAGGAGTGATGTAGCAGTACATCACCAATTAACTTAATCGTGACATCCAAGAATGGCTGAAACAGTGGTGGAGGAAAAGAGCATGGCTGATGTTCCCCAGATGTGATGAGGGGTTCCTCAAGGCAAAGGTGCTATTCTCTATTTCTAACCTGCCCGATCAAGCCCCTGCTATTATCCTCCTCCCATAGCTGGTGCTAGCTACACTCACCCACTGTGTATTTCAAACTACTGAAGCACTGAAAGCCATGAGAATAATACTTGTCTTCTATTTACATTTAGCTGTGTGTTACGGCTTTCCTTGGCCTGGTTATAGGTGCTATTTTCTTTGGACTTCAAGAGGACTCTACTGGACTGCAGAACAGGTTAGTCAGTTTAGGTAACATATATTAAAAAATTTGATAAAGCTCCCTCATCACTGTGATTGATAGGATAACAAATAGGTTGGAGGATGAGAAGGAACCCGTGAGCTCTTTATGAACTATATTTACCTCTCTAATGCAAATGTTTCCCTTCACATCAGTAGATAAGGCCAAGCCTACATTAGTGACTTCAAAGTGAGGATGCCCTTCTGCCTCTAGGAAGGTCCTTGCAGAACTGAGAGAGGGATGCAGTTCTGCCCTGCCCTACCATGCTGTAACCTAGGCAAGCAGTCCAAATGAAGTGAGTAATGCTACTTCGGTAGGATGACATTTTTCAGGGCCAGTCAGAATGCTGAAAACACTGAACAGCAGACATCATGTTAAAAAGGCTTAATTCAGCATGGCAGCATTTTAACTTCTTTTTTGCAAAGATTTCGCCAAGATAAAAAGATTAAAATATATAGATTTGGCTACATAAACTGGGTAACTAAAACTTTGCTCTTGCAGCTACTTCTGTATACACCCTTGAGTTAACCAGCAACAAGTCAGAAGGTCCATCTAAAGCCAGATTCTGCAATTATTCCGGTCTGTGTATGATTTTGACAGCTCTATGTACATGACCTGAAAAATGGATTTGCAACTAAAGGAAGCTTTGGGTTCTTAGTCTTGGAACACTCCATAGCATTTACTTTAAAATTGCCCAGTTTTAAATTGGCTCTGAAAGCCTTAAATTTTAGTGGGAAAGGTAAAAACAACTTCTCACATTGCTTACTCAGTTCCTCAGAGTTTGCATCAGACAAATGCCTCACAGACTGAGAATTTTTAATGTGCCTTTTCCCATGGACTTCAGAGTGGGAAGTCACATACTGCTGAGCTCCAGGCACTAAAGCTGGATTTACATACACTGCAGCAGAAGCACTACACTTACATCACATCTTTAATAACAGCTTGCTGGTTTGCTTTTTGTAGAGTGGGTGCAATGTTCTTTCTGACAACCAACCAGTGTTTCAGCAGCATCTCAGCTATTGAACTCTTTGTTGTGGAAAAAAAGATATTTATGTAAGTAAAACATATAAAAACATTATCAGGGACTACTCTAGAGAGCTTGTTTGTTTGCCCTGCTGTAGCCAATTGTCACTTAAGTACACCTCGTGCAGTTTTCAAATGAATTCATTGTTAGTGCTCATTGCAAATGTACTCTTTCAGCCTGCTAGTGAGTTACCTGCAAATCCCCCAAATGGTACCTGTCATTGCAAACAGCTCAGAGTTTAAAATTATTAACATATGTGGCAAAAAATTCCCTGAATACTCGATGTAGGTATTGATTAGTAAGTTTGTGATTTGCTAGTGAGGGCAGAGAACATTATCTAATTGCAATCTTCTAAGCTATGCAGATTACACTGTACAGAAAAGAAAAATTATTGAAGCTGTACTCGCTCTCTCTCCGTTTCGATGACATGACACATATGTTTACAAAAAATTACGTACACAAGTATCCATATTAATTTGCATAGGAAAAGGGCATCATGGCTATAGTACGTGTCTTACTGGTCTTTTACATTACAGTCCAACCATGAAACAATTCATTATTTCCACTTTGAGTTAAAATAAACCTTACTGTTTCTTAGTGATTAAATTTGTAATATGCTGTGTATTTGTTCCAGACATGAATATATCAGTGGATACTACAGAATATCTGCATATTTCATCTCAAAACTAATGGCTGATTTAATACCCATGAGGACTATACCAAGCATCATCTTCTCCTGTATAATTTACTTCATGTTAGGCAAGTGTAGTCTCCTGCAGACAATAAATCAATGAGGCATTAGCATTTTGTATATGTGCATGTATGCATGTATATTTGTATAGGCCAAAGTACTATACCAGCATGGCAGTGGTTACTTTGCTTGCTTTTACTATAACATGCAATTTACAGAAAAGACACACTTTTAAAGGTTTTAAGCTTCCATGTCTCAATCTGTGACATGTCTCTTCTCCACTGTCCGTAGAAGGAAGTGTGCCATTACTACATAGGTTTGGTTTATTCTTTTCATTTATGGCCATCTTAGTTTCCAGTGACTTTTACAAGATACTTTTTCCATCTTTGCAAGAGCACCTATCAAGGAAAAAATGTTGTTTTAAGAAGTTAATATTGTGTGATTTAACACTAGCTTATTCTTTTTGGTGAAATGCCTTCTGGTTAGTGAGCAGACTTTGCTATCGAAACTATAACCATGCAAAAGCCTCTAGGTCTGTTAGGAAAGCTTTCTGCTGGAAACAAGTGAAATGTTATACAGCTGCTGCTCATGGAAGTGCACTAGAAATTCCTCCTTTGGTAGACAACTTGAAGCTGCAGCAAAGGCTTCACCTTAGACTGTGTGGAGTACAGTACTGTAATTTCTACCCATTCTGCTATCTCCAGTGCTACTGCAGTTACAGGCATACTACTTACTCATCCTGTCCTCCATTGACAGAGCATGTTAGACAACATGCATTCTGCAGGCAGGATACACTGCCTAAGTCAGAAGAGTATTCAGGTTATGGTAGAGCTTTTGGCAGGGTTATACTGAAACCATTCTTGTTCTGATCTTTAAGGTTTGAAACCAACAGTAGAAGCTTTCTTTACAATGTTGTTTACCCTTATGATGGTGTCCTACACAGCCACTTCTATGGCACTAGCTATTGCAGCAGGAGAGAGTGTGGATGCTGTAGCAAACCTGCTCATGATGATCACATTTGTTTTTATGACTGTGAGTAGCATTATTCAGTATTCTAGACTAAATTCCGACATCTAGATATCCTATCAGAACAGAGTTCAGCTGAATTCTGAAAAAAGACTATGGGGGTCAAGCGTGTCAAATACTTTTCTGATTTGAATATTCTGAGACTATAGCATTAAATATTCTGATTTGTCCTTTTAATTAACAAGAACTGTAAGGATTGGGTGTGAGGGGGAGTTAAGAGTGGTTCCTCTGTACTCTTTTCTGTGGCTCTGGCAGCCAGCATACTGCCTGAAGAGCAGCAAAGCAGTCCAGAGCTGCATTTTGCTTACTCTCATCTTTGCCAAAGGCAAATTTGGCTAGCTGAGGACATGACCCTGCTCTCTCTCAGGGAATTGCTCTCCTCAGCTGCGGAGCCAACCATCAGTCATATTAGGACTAGGCAACACACAAATAGGTACAGTTAGAAGACAGGCACCACAAACAATGAGGCAATGCTGAACCAAGAGCTGAAACCCACATTGCCTCAGACTCAGGGCACACAGGCAAAACCAAGTGCACAAATTCAGCAGCTCCTTGCTATACCTGAGTAAAAGCAGACAGCTCAATTGAACCCACGTGTGGCCCACAGATGGAAAGCATCTGGATTTGATGCACATGTGAAAGCATTCCCCATTACTCATTTCAGAAGAAGGACCACAGGGCGTTATGGCCCAAAGCTGGGTAGCAGAAATGATTCCTACCCTTTCCCCTGTTCTTCCACTGGAAGAGCTTTTTCCTCTAGAAATGACTTCCCAGTTGTTTTTGATCTGAAGAAGCAGAGTCAAGAGCTAGAGAAGGACACCTGGTAACAGTATGTAATTTGTAATATGTTGTTGTGGTGGTGTTTTTTTTTTTTTGTAATCCTTGTATCTAGATTTTCTCTGGGTTGCTGGTCAACCTCAGAAGCATCGTGTCCTGGCTCTCCTGGCTCAAATACTTCAGCATCCCTCGATATGGAATGACAGTAAGTGCTATAATTTCCTGGGCACAGGTTTGGAAAAGCTTTGCTAGAAAGGAATGTCTTTATTCATGATAAAGAAAACTTCAAACTTTATGGGATAATGAGCAAAAAGTAAGCTAATTAAGTACAGCAACCTCAGAATATAGGGCAGTGTCTTGAAACAAGAAGAAAGGCTTCTCATCAACCAGCACCCACTGCTGTTTAGAACTCATTTCTGTTAACACCAAACACCCATTTTGGAAACACCTCACATGACAGAGACACTAAACAATTACAACCACTAGAATGCAGCTGGACAAAAACAATACAGAGTAAAGAACAATGTTATCCCAGAAAAACAATTCTTCTCTTTTCCATCAGTAAAACAAAAACTTGTTAAGCTAAAATTTTTCTCCTAATTTTTGATAATTTGAGGTAGGGTTATGTTTTGCAGAGAGATCTGGGCTTTAATATGCCTGTGCAGAGATAGTCTAGCCTGAGGGACGTGTTGAAGCCTGGCAATTGAATTATATCTCATGTTGTTAAAGTATCATTACCTACTAATTTCAATAGTCATTGTTTCTTTTCTTTTAAAAGGCTTTACAAATCAATGAATTGACTGGTCTGAACTTTTGCAGCAGCAACAACACCACAAATTTAATCAGCAACAATAACTATCCACAGATGAGCCAGCTGTAAGTATTCTGGTACAGTAAAATGAATCCCACCACTGGTAACTTACAGAGTCTGAGAGCATTAGTCTGTGAGATGCTCACGAATGACCAGCAGAATCTCTGAGTGTTTATGTGGAAAATGAAATTTTCACTGCGTTTTTGCATTTTGTCTGCAGAGAACATTCTACTTACAGTCATATTTAGTATTGATAACACTAGAAATACCCGGTGTTGTGCTTCTCACTTTAAACTGTGTTTTCTGAAACACACGTGCACACACTACAGTTATACAGCCTCACAAAATCCATTTCAGCTTCCTACAGGAAATCATTGTAGCTAGAAGAAAAACAAATTTACAAACAGTAAAATAGCAACGTGTAGCTGGTGTTTGCCTGGCCTACTATAGACATAAAATCACATTGCAGCTTCTAGGGTTCTGCTTGGGTACTTCAAACTGACTAAGCTTACAAATGTGTGTGTATTTACCCATAGGTGGTGTTTTGGAGAGGAATATCTGAAAAATCAAGGCATTGATGCGAGTAGCTGGGGCCTGTGGCAGAACCACCTGGCTCTTGCCTGCATGACCATAATATTCCTTACCATCGCATACCTGAAACTGCACTTCATGAAGAAGTTTTCTTAAAACCAGAATGAAAACCACAGTTCCCACTATTCAGTAGTTTGATAAACTGTGATCCGACTTGATTCTTTTTTAAGAGACCTTCCTTTGTACTGTTGTTTATGATTACACAAATCAACAATGTGAATGCCATTCTTGTATATCAAATACTTAGTATTAAAGTACTTTGCTGATGTGTAGCATTCCTCAGTTCTCTTTGCCAGAAAAAGGATACAACTATTCATTTCTTCAAGAGACCCTTCAGACTTTCTGCATGTTCTAGCTGTGAATTTGTTAAACAATGAAATTAGTATTTAATGGCTTAACCTGAAAACCAAAACTAATGGTTCATTCTTTTAATTAGCACCTACACTCACTGGCAAGCCAACTTTTACTTTGCTTTTACTTTATGTCTCCAGATTCCTTTCAGAATGGTTTAATTTCTTCTTAGGGTCTTAGATATTTTTTCTGCAAGGGAGGATGCTCATGGGCTCTCTGGATGATAAATGTACCTCTGGATATGCAGCAGAGGTAAATACCTGCCTTTGCTGTTTATGACCTCCAAGGGACATATTCTGCATTAAAATTAACTGAGTCATTCCATGGAGACTTGAGCTCAGATGTCAGGTATTAAGCTTACTGTAATAAACCTCTGTAAACTAGTTTCCATAGCTCAGTATCTATATACAAATATGTGGAGAATATCTTTCCATATACTGAGATACAGATAATTTACATACATGGAATTCTCCTATCTCACATCCCATAATTCCATGGAAAGGATTTGGTTTAGGCTTAAACAACACAGCATTTAGGACAGCCTGACTGGGTTAGATATATCTTGAACATGTCACTTATTTGCTTTTTCTCAAGTGTCTCTTCTGCTTGAGATCTGGGAGAACAGTCACAGTATTACCCTGTTTTGTGAGATGTGACCCTAACCGGCTTTCTCTCTGCTTTGTTTTTAGGATTTAGCCAATCTCTATTTTCACCTGCTTCATTTATATTGTTATATTTTGTAAATAATATATATGATTTTTTTTAAATAAAGAGATCCCAAATATTTCTGGAAGGCAAAAAAAAACTGAGGCTAAGCAGTAATTTCAATGATCTTTCTTGGGACGATATTTATAATGTTATTTTAGTAATCAAACCATCAACAGGCTCAAGTTTATTTAATTACTTTCCAGGAGAAGAATTTATCCTCAGGAAGTATCATGTGAGCACTAAATCCCAACTTACTCTTTTGCTCAGATTTTACATATGCATTTAAATTCAATGACAATATATTCATAAAGGCTATTTAAACATGGAAAAGGTCATCAGGATTCATACTGACATACTTCATACTACTCAGATTTGCATGCATGGTGTTATTAGTTATTCACAGCACAATTTCTCACAGAAGGGAGGGGAAGAAATGATAAATGCAGAAGTTGAATGCCTGTTCTGTATTTTCTTTTACATTCAGGATGGCGAGGCAAGGCAGGACCTGTCTCACTATTCCATATTCAGTGTTTGACAGGAGGCCAGGAGTACTGTGGCCCTGCCCATAATATCTGACAGTACTTCAGATAGATCAGTGAACTTTCAACAGTTGCGGGTTCTGGTCACACAGTGACAGGCACTGAGTAAAACCTTTCACCTTGCACAATGTTGGTCATGTTTATAACAAAATAAAATACTAGATTTTCATTAGAACCCAATTGGTTATGCAAGGTATCACTTAAATGAGCTGTAGCTCCCTCTTACGGTAAGGTCTGAGGTGCTACACTGCTGTGTAAAATGCTATTTGAAGACAAGACTTTCCCATACAGCTTTTCAGGAGTAGCTGCATTAAAATGAACCAGTAACTCTGGATTTAGATTCAGGTATTCTGATTTTAATTCAGATATTCCAGCTAAGTGAGTTGCAGCTATTTGGAACAGATATATATAGGCATGTTATTTATTGTATTGATAGTTCAGTTTCTGAGTCAAGAGTGCATTTTAATAGTACTTTTTTAAATCTATGGGGAACGTATCATATCCAGCCTTATCTAAACTTGGTAATAACTGCACTGTCATCTTTCTAACTTTCCATATTTCTAATGCAATGAACCAACACACGGAACTATTTGTAAACTTTAGATCCAATCCTGACCTGAAGGCTTGCTCTTTGCTATTTCTGGCAGTGCAAGGTTTGATGCTGAAACACGTACCTCCAAGAATGCACCATCATTCTTGGTGGTAAAATTCTGATCATAAAATATAAATCTGCTTAACTTCATCTATATTTTGTATTTACAGATTGAATTGATTTTTGGTTTCAACTCGGGTCTTATCTTTCCAATGCTTAACTCTGTATTTCACCCTGCAGAGAAGTTAACATACTGCCTGTATGATTTCACTTCCATTTAAGTGGCCGCCCATGTCACCAGAGCAAATCCCAAGAGTTGTTGCCCAGGAAGAAACCTCTTCATCGCTATGAAAGGACAGACTATGCTACTCCTAGGACATCACTTTTTAGCCTATTTGCTCCCACTGATTTTAATAAGTACCCATACACTAATGAACTGACAGCAGCACAATCTAGCCAGCAAACTGTTAGCTGAGCTCTGCAACTCCATAATGAGATATATAAAATTCTGTACCTTAGTTCCATGAGCAGAAGTTACAGTACTCATGTCACACTATGGGCTTTATATTAACATTTCCTCTTTTTATCCAGCATTCTACTTTCCATATATATCTTAGCAGAAGATAGGACCAATAAATTGCTTGAAGTTGATCACTCATGGCAGACTATTTTCATGGTTCTCCTCTTTCATTTGGACACTGACTGGTACAATTAGACTTGCACAACCCAGGAGATACTTAATCTCTACATGCACTATAACATGTACCTTAATGAACAAGGAAAGCAGAAAAAGGGGTAGGCAGGGGAAGTAGTTAGTAGAAGGAAAATGAGTCCGGAATGCCCAAGGTTAAAAGGCTTTGAGTACATGTGTGCATGCCTGTATCCTGATACTATGAAGATCCTTAATAACTGCATTGTAAAAGCTTGACCTTGTGACAAGAATTAGACCCTCCTAGTAACCCAGGGTTAACGGTCCTGACTTGTTTCTCACAATCTCTTTTATCTCCCCTCCCTCATTAGGGATGGATTTTACAAGCATTCTTTTAAGAGAACATGCTCATTAAGACTTTTTTTCATTAATCGGCTCCAAATTGGTCTTGATATGATCCCAGCTTTCCACTGTAATTGGTTTAGGAGCCAAATAATCCCTGACATTTGTTCCTTTCGGCAGGATCTCAGCCATAGGGTACCATGGATCAAATGGTTATAGTGTTAAGACTCATGCACTGCTTGGACTTAAAAATATTGGAACTGCCTGATACTGTTTTCTTCCTGAGATTTTTGTCATTTGAACTTAGTCTTACACAAGAACTTAATCATTCTGATAATATCACTAACACAGGTGAAAAGGTGTTTCTGTGTTTGAAAATCCCTGTTTCCATTTGCTTACATTTAACGTTTGCTTACATTTTTAATAAAAAGTCTAGGAAACTTTGAAAGACTTATATTTAAATTTGATGTGAAATGATTCAATCTGGTTGAAGATTCTGCTTTTAAATCCCTGTCTGAACTACTTTAAAATAATTAAAAATGGATCACAAGCTGAAGGTTGTTACTTTCTAAAGAGGTACTGTTATTTGTTTGAATTGATTAGTTAGAAGTTTTACTATAACCTTACAAGCTACTACTTTTAATTTTTATTGTTGTCAGTACAGAAAGAAAGGGGTTTATATTTTCAGTCCCAGTAACTGAAAGTAATTCTTTGTTCCTTGTAAAGAATGCTTCATTTGCTGTAATTAATAGCATAGGCACTGCTAAATAGCAGGGGTACTGCATTTTTTACTGACCCTTTTTCCTCCTTAGGGATCTAGTAAGAAGCGTTTTCCGCCAAACATACCTACATATACCATGTGAGGTATTCATTTCTGCTTGGTATGAACATTCATTTCATTCATTGCCTAAATTACAACTTTTCCATCTGTTTGATCAGCTGTTACACTCTCTCAGCCATAAATTCTGTTACTAGCAAGCGCCTGATGTTACACTGCTATGTAACAGGCAAGAACAGATATTAAACTGCCTAGATACAACTAATAGCTCCAAACATGCTGCCCCAGTGCTGCTTGGGAAGCAGCTTCCTCCTCTTTGACTTATTTTACGACAAGTAATTGACTGAGGTCCAGTTTTCAAAGTGTAATAAATAATTACAGGAAAGACATCTAATTTCAATTAAGATTTTTCATTTTTTAAGTTGAAAACTGTATCTTTTCAAGTGACTTCAAAGTACTAATTGAAAAGTGTGTGTGGTTATCAATGAAGATGGGTTCAATATCCCAAGCTTTCTATCAGAGTTCTTGCTTCCATTGCGGGCCCTGATGTGGTTAAAGGGTAGGTGAAATTGCACCACCTGCTAAAGATATGTGACAGATTTGATACACAAAGTGACAGATTTGATACACAGTTCTCAACAGAATTATCATGTGATTCTGCAGGGATCTAGTCTTGTCACTCACTCATCACAAGTATAAATGGCCTTAATAATCCTTAAGACAATTTACAGAAGAAATTTGCTGCGTATTTACCTTTTCACTCCAAACCCGGCACTGAGAGTGTTACCATTTTGCCATCTTTTGAGACCTCTGTGCTGGTAGGTACAATAAAAACCTTGTAGGCCATATATTCACTATCTGTGAGGAAAAACATTCATTTAATTTGGGTTTTCTGGGAGTCATCAAGGGAATTGTAGAGTAGAATCCTACTTAGACAGAGAATGACAGCCCATTCCACAAGGATTTTCGATGATAAGAAAGCAACAAAGGTATTTCAGACATCCACTAGAGAATAAGGGATTAAGACAGCAACACGACAAAAATTAAATATTGCATGTCTACCTCTTTTCATCAGAGAGATCGGTTACAGATTAAGAGCTCAAAGCAACACTTCCTTTACATGTGGGAACAGATGGGTAAGTTCAATCTTATCTTGTCTTATCTGACAATACCACTTGGTATTGTCAGATAAGTATCTTGAAGAATGTATGGATTACTGCACTTCCAATTGCCATCCCTCTTTGCTCTGCATATTACTGCATATTCTATATAAGCAGGAAACAAAACGAAGCCCCATTGGTGCCTAAATATACAAGTAACAATTGCTCACAGTTGTTTTATCATAACTTTAACTTTTTTCCCTTCTTCTCTTTTTTTTTTGTCTTGTTTAGATTTACTGGAACGAAGTATTTGAATACAGAAGGCATCCAAGTGATGCCCCTGGGATATGGAAGAATTATGGGGCTCCTACCCCAAACATGCTTCTCAAACTGCAGTTCCTGAAGTTTTCAAAAGTCAGCAACACTATAGCATACACACAGTATGAAATAAAAGGAGGTTCCCACTTTCCACATGCTGTGACTTCTATAACACACTAAGGGCTTGCTTAGTTAGCTTAGTCAACTCAGTATGTATATATTTCATTAAAGACTACAACGGATTTACATTAAGCACTCAATTTCATTAATAAGACTTCTGACCTGGTGAGACAGCTGCCCAGACAGAACTATGGGCCTGGGATCTCAAAAGACCATTCAGTTTTCCAGATGGTTAGGACCACCTGAAACGAAGGCAAAAAATAAAGGGAAACAGAGAAAAACAGAAGTCAATTTACACAGCAACTGTGACATAATAAAGGGACGAAGTTATCAGCTGCTACCTAAAATGGCAGAAAACAGACCTGTGCATTTGCACAAATGCACATGAGAAATAAACTGCGAAAAAAAGTACTGCTTGGGCAATGAAGCAGTCAGATCAGCCCAGTCCCCTCTGTTCATTTACACCCTACACTCCTGTTTTATGTGATTAGGTAACCTAAGAATAAGCTACGGGATAGAAGTAACACACACAACATAGGATTCTTAAAATGTTCTGTTATAAACAAACCAAGTGTTTGGCACAAAGATTGCTTTATAGATTATATAAAATGTTTATTAGGAAGTAAAGTGCTCAGTTTTACAGATCAATACAATCTTGATCATTGTAGAAGGCTTGCATAATTAACAGCTTCCTAATAAGACCAAATACTGCACATTACTATGCAAAAACCTTACCTTTGTAATATGTGACAAATGGCATTATAATCTAGTGGAAAAATGAAATAATAAAATGTTTATAACATTTGTCAAGTGCCCATGCACTCACTGCAAGGCCACTGTCAACACACACGGGTACCCCATGAAAACTTACTGCACTTCAAGATGAAGTTTGTTATTAAGTAACGACACGTTACAGAAATATATCTCAACAAATACAGCTATGAATGCAAACACTTTCCGAATAAACATATACTACAAATAGAAGATTAACTGTTTGACTGAATTTACATTTTGAAAGATACACCTTTATAATAAACCAATTTAAAACCATACTGACAGGTTTAGTTTTGCTTTCTTTCCCCCATTAAGGCACTGCCTCACCAACAGATGACCACCAGATCCCTGCTGCCATAAGCCTCAGCATGCCACATGCCTTACTGGCTGCAGGCACAAACCTGAACACAAAGTATTCCAAGTACGGTTCCTCCTGATTGCTGGACAACTCCAGCTGGGTCATTTGGCGAAAGTCTTTGATTAAGTACATGATTATTAAATACTATTTTAGTATTTAGGTAACTCTGGACCCTAGAAACCCAATATTAATTACATGTTACACACATGTAATTAGTTAGCATGCTTCAAAGTTTAAACTGTAAGTCATGCTACACACCAACACACTACCCATTCTAAATATGAAGACTATGCATATTTGAATTGCTTTGTATGGTATTTTCTGTTTTCCTTGCACATCAGCTGGCCACGTGTTCTGCTAGTGTTCTTTGGTTGGTTTGTTTAAAGTTACAAATGCCAGTTCAATACAGAAATGCTTTCCTTGGGAAGGGTTCTAAGGTCCAAAAAGTTTCAACTGAGGCAAGACAGAGCTTAGCCTGAGTGTCTCGTTTCACACAAAAGCCCTAACTACTGTGCTGTGCGCTGTTTTGGGAAGCTGACAGGGTTTCTTCTGAAGCAGTATGAATTTCTTCCTAGTACAGGAACCACAGAAAGAATAAACACTTCACCTGTTCTGTGAATCACAACCTGTTTTCCCACGCTGGTCTGCTCTCAAGCCAAAGCTACTAAGAAATTCCAGTCCCAGCACTGAACTTCCTCCTGCACCACTTACATTCAGTTTCTGTGCATATGGTTTCTCATAAACTTAAAAACAGGGAAAGGAATTAAGTCTATTTAGTTCTAGCAAGTTCTCTGGTTAGGAAGAAAGAATTCTGAGTCACTGTACATCCAGGCAATGCAATTGTAAGGTCATACACAAGGTGTAAGCTTCGCCTAAGCAGCACAACTGCAAGAATAAGGTGTTAACTTCCGGCAACAAACACTTTTTGAAACACAAAGCATCAATATAACATATACATATGCTACTTATACTTTGTTAAATAGGCATTTTTCCCTCTATATACCCTGCTACAGCTTTGATGTGTTTGATTGTGTAGCTTTCCCTCTTCCTTTACAGCAACTCTAAGTCTTTAAATACAACTGCCATCTTCAGGAAAAAAAGCACAACTGAAACTCCCTCCTAAACCAGTATTCCACAGACGGAAATACGTTGCTAGGCAAAACCACAAACACTACGCCCCAATGGTTTCTGTAGGAAACCAACCTAATTTCAGTGTCCTTTCATAAACAAAGCTTCTACGGCACAGAAAGCAGAGGAAACTAAACACTAAAAATCAGTGATTATACTACAAACACCTTTCGAAAGGCATCATGTGTTGCACCTCAGCAGAGAAGCATATGTAGAAATATACCTAATAATATTACAAGCAGTTCTTTTAAATGTACATACAGACTACACAGTTGAGACATGGTTACAACTTGACACAGCACAGGATCAGACTGCAAACCATCAGCAACTTCTCTGCCCCCTTCCCTGTTGCACCCACAGAAGAGTTGATGTTTCTCAATTTTGTGAGCTTTGAAAGAATCTATTTTCTGCAAAGTAACCATATTTACCTAAGAATTGGTGGAATGTTTATCCCAGGAACACTTAGATCATGAAATCATAGTATTAAAAAATGGGCACTTTGCAACAAAGCCCAAAATTATTACTTTCATTGGGTGTGAAGAGGCAGCTCTCAAATAGTGCTTTTGAAATCCTAATGGAACACAAACACCTGCAATGTGTACATTTCTATTATGGAATATGTGATTTACCATTGTACAAAGTGAGTGTACTTTCTTCTGTTTAAAAAAACACAGTATTTCTCAAAACCAGGAAGAAATGAACATTTGAAGTTGATTAAAATGTTAGTAACACCAAGAATAACTCAGAAACATAGGCAGAAGCAAAGTAAAAAAGTGCTATTTTATCTCTGAAAAGTGTCAGCTGTTAACAATGAATGAGGCAATAAATTCATGCCATCTTCTTTTAAAAATTGCTTTTAAAAGCATTGGGAAAAAATCCTATTTTCCAACAGAAAGCAAAATACTTGCAGCCTTTCAATGGAGTGGTTTTAGCCACAGCACATTATTTTGTCTGAAGCTTGATGCTCTTGTGGAAGTGTCCCCATAATACATGTATGGAATCAAACTTCTGGCCAGGTAGATTTTGTAACAACTGTTTCCATTCTGCCTCCTGCACTTTCATTTGCAAGGCTGACAGTTTACTGTGGGCAACTTGAACGTGACACATGGCTTATGTAGGTCTGAAAATGCCTTTTGAAGAGAATATTTACTTTTGCCCATCGGTGAGAAATGTCCTTAGTGGTCTGATGAGAATGACCACCTCATGCTGGGAAACAGTGGAGTAGTGTATTTGCTGGCTTAATACTGACCTGAAACATTCAGAATCGCCTACAAAGTTAATCCTTACACATGGATGTTATTCCCCCCATTTCCTCCTCCCCCATCAATACCATCTGACTGGGAGGATGATGGCCGAGAGTTCCTTGAACGAGGCTGGCCATTCAGTCCAAGTGGTGTTCCCAACCGATGGCTCATTTGGGATGCCGTGTCATCTGATTCCCACCTCTCCAACTCCTCTCGCACAAGTCGCTCCATTTGTTCTCTATGGATTTCATTGTCACGACCCAGTCTTTCATCCTGAACAGATTAAAAGACGCAACCTTGAAGCTCAGCTTCTAAACAACAGCCTAAGCAAATCCCTACACAAACATGGGAAAGTCTTACACCACTCAAGTATTTCCATAGGCTAGTGGAGAAACACTGCTACTACAGTAAAAGGTTTTCTTTTCAGTGATGTAATGCCCAGGTTGTCACCTTCACTGATGACAGCACAATTTGTATTACAGTTTTCTTACCTCTGTTACTCCATCTAACAGCCTTCCTAACACATCTCTCCTTTTTAGTTTGGCTCTCTCCATCGCTTCAAGCTTCACGATAACCGCATCAATCTTGGAGACTATACTGCCGATAGAATGCTCCATGCGATCCACCCGCCTCATGAGCCTAAGGGCAACAAGTGTGAGCTTCAGTAACCCTGTCCGAGTCAGTATCACTGTAGTATGCCAACACACAAAGCAGATAAGGATGAGAGCCTTTTAATTCTGGCATGCATCTGACCCTCCACAAATCAGTCCTAATGTCCAGGCAGGGACAAGGTACACAAGAGCAAAAGGATAACACAGAGATAAAGCAGATGGGGAAAAAATCCCCAGAAACATATTCCACTCTGTTTTCCCTGCTTTTAGGGCATCCTCATGAAAATTTGTTGGTTCTAGTTACTGAAATTCTTCATTCAGCTATTGTTGCTATAATTAATTAATATGGAGATCTATTATTTTTGACAAAATACACACACACAACTAACTTAATCTTACTAAAAAAAACACCTTAAGTTCTCAGTGAACCTAAAACAACCTCAAGGTTTTACTTCTAAAAACCGTAGAAAAGTCTTCTGGCGTTATTGTATCATTTTCCCTGTTCCCTACTGTACCATTTGACCATTTTTTCCGTCTTTTCAATGACCAGGTTTTAAAGACAGGGGCTTTTTTTGGTTGGTTGGTTTGTTTTTGGCTTTATGTCTAATTCACATCAGCCTCTCTAAAGTAATTCCAGTTCAGACACTAAAGAGTGACTTAAGTACCTTCAAAACACAGCATTTACTTTTATGAATAATTTGATTAATAGAGTTACAGGAGACTCTATTATAGAACTGAAAGAAGAAAACCTACAAGAGAAAAAATCCCCCAAACACCATGCAGATTTTTCCTCCTCAGAACAATAAACTTACACTTGGAACTCTTCATAGGAAACCCCACTAGAGCTGCTGCCCCTCCTCCTGGAGCTGTGTCCACTGTCTTCATCCTCATCCTCCTCAGAGTCGTCCAAGCTCCGGGGGAAGCTGCGGCTGCTCAGAGGACGTGGCAGAGAGCTCCTATCCAGGTCCAGATCCTCCTTTGTGAAAACACAAGACACAGACAAAGATGATGTAAAGATCTTCACCTGTACATGAGGGATGGGGGTGTCAAGGTCAAAAACCTCTTGCCCTCCATCAGCTCCTCCTTGCCTATTTACAGTCCTGCTCAGACAGGCAGGGATGAGAGCAAATGTGAAGGGAAACAAGAGGACTCTTCTAGGGCAGAATTGTTCAGAAACAAGCATGGGGAGAAGACTGGCAGATGGCAGTGGTGGCATATCACTCCTAACACTGAGCTCACCCTCTCTTTCTCAAGGTCATCTCTCATCTGCTGATGTTCATGCTCTGTCAATTCCTGGTCCCCATCCTGGTCATATTTGGTAAATATTGCTTCAATCTCTGCATCCGTGTGCCCCTTCCTGAAAAGGGAGTAAAAACAGTTGCCTTATTTCCCATTTTTTGGACGCCAAGTGAACTTCAAGTATTAGAAAAACACTTCACTCCATCAGACCTTCATCCCCCAGCCAAAGGCATAACTGATCCTAGTGCTGCCTATGAATTCACAACACTGATAATAAACACCTCAGCTCTCACCTTTTATTACTCAGTAGCACAAATCTCCCCTAGACTGCACCCTGCTCCTTCACAACCATCCCTTTTATACCTCTTTGTTTGCTTTCCTTGGATTCCTGACTGTTCACAATCTCCTGCAGTGGCTCAGATAGAAATATTACCATTTCCTCAAATGCTTTAGATCTCTGCTTCCTAAGGCCCCTTCTACCCACAACAAGAGAATGTGGCATTCTCTTGCTTCTCACAGAAGCATCAAAGACATGACATGTCTCTGGGATACTCTTCCAGATAAGAAGTAACAGCTTCCTTACCCTTTCAGATCTTGCCGGAGCTCATCAAAATTTAACTTTCCCCCACCTTGTCTCAGGCTTTCTGAAATGTCATCAACAGTAGTCTTCTTCAATTTAAGTTTGATCATGGCTTTGTTGTAGCCCTAAAAGAAACAGTGATATTTTGTGTTTTACTTGTCATGAAATGTTAACACTTGATTTCTAATAACTTTCTCATTATAAAAATCAGCTAGTGTATACTACCATTCAGTGCATCCCAAAAGTCCTGCAGGAATCTCTCTTTTCCTCTGGTTTACCCATCTTTTATTTCAGCATTTAAATGAGCAACATATAAATACCTCTGCAGTTAGAGTAAGGCTTTCATCCTTCAGTTTGCACTGCAGATCAGCAGGAATGGAGTATTTTGTACAGCAAGACCTTTAGCAGTCAGTTACTGACAGTTAAGTGACAGTTTTAAATAATGCTGACAACACAGGTACAACTTCCTGCAGTTATTTTGCTTCTCTGTCATGCTTCCGTTGTAGGAATGACATAAAATCTTCATCCCAAAAAGCAGCACTCTCTGTTTTTCTCTGCTCTGTTTTAATAACCAGTTTGCAAGTTTTAAACTCAGAGTTACTGGTCAGGCCGAGTATGTGGTTAGACATTTCTGACCACAGTACAGCAAAGCATCCATGCCAGAGCACACGTATGTGCACATGTTTTTCCTAAACTGGGATTCAAGCCAAGCTCCTAACTTTGTATTCAACAACTTTACTGGCAGCTGCCCCTGGAAGCTCCCAACGCATTATCCAAGACTCGCCTAAATTTATTGCCCAAAATGAGGTAGTTCTGTGACCAAACCAAACAGCAGCTTAGCTTCATCAGTTCAGTGTTTCTGTACGTACTTGACAGTCAAATCTTATGTTGTATTCAGCAGGCTGATCATTCAACACAAAGTCTCAGATGACTAAAATATGTTGTGATGGAAGTTTTCATTTATTTTACACTCAGCTCAGATTAATTTAACTAGAGATGTGTATATTCATCAGCTGCTGCCAGCTTCGCTTTGTAGCGATTTATGGAGTGAGTTTAGATGTGAGGAATGTTAAAACAAACAAAATGTTACTTTTACCTTTCTGATAAGGTCAGACAGTTCCATTTCTGCCTTCTGTTGTGCCATATCTGATTTGACTTCAGAGTACGTATCATTGATGATGGCCAAAAACATGTTCTGTTCATGAGAGAAATGAAAAAGCCCAATTGAAATTTCAACAAGCCTAAGCCCCGCTCCTACGACCTTCACATGCAGACCTATACGTGACTTTTAAAAAAGGCCAGGAGAAAATGGTGAGCTTTTTCTAAAGCACTAACATCAAGAACTTCAGATATTGAAATGGGATGCACTGCAGTGTAGCAACTTCTAGTCAAGACTACTGGTTATTAATGTAACTGGAGTATTACTTTCCAGAGACAGTTCATACCTACACCAAGCAGCGGCAATAAACCATGCTTGTTTAACATTATATATTTAAGTTTGACCTTCTATGTGCCAGGCCAAACTTACACAGATAGTTACTATTAATTAATCTAGAGAACACAAAAAAAGTGCCTGAGTAGTCAAGTCAACTATTCATCTCATAATAACCAGCACAAACATAAATTTCTTACCTAGTTACAGCTCTGCTTGCATTTCAGGCTAAGATAAAAACAAAACAGCTTGCAATCAGACATCTGGCATGTACACCACCAACTCTGAAAAGAGTCTGGTTGCTTGCCCAAATGAAAGAGAAAAAAAAAAGTAGGTCTCACTAACCCTGCGCCAAGCATATAGTTTGAGACATGCTGTCATTACCGAAAGGCTCCTGCTGAACATGGAGTAAATATGACTGAATTGAAAGCTGGATATTCAAGTTGAAGAAGAATTACTTAATTCACTGGCACATTCAATGTGCCACTCTCACACAGAAAGGCAGTGTTAACCTCTATTTCCTTATGGACTTAAAAAATTGCTTTAGGATAAATATCTTCCAACACTGTACCTTTATGCATTATTGTCCAACACCAGAGAAGAGGTAACTTGACTACCGTATATTTGCTTTCAGCTACTCAAAATTAAGACCTGGTGCTTTCTGGTCATCTTCCCTAACTTAGTTTCCAGACCTCAGACTAGTCTCAAGGAGCTTACAGCAACATTTCACTCCAGCCAAATGACAGGATTGTGCAGGTGTGGATAGGCACAGAAATTATAGTGAGTATTTTGGATAACCTGGTCATGCCTTCACGCTCTAGTACTTTTCTGCTACCCCTTCAGAAAAAAAATAAACTTCTCTCCCTTGCTGAACACTAGCCTCTGCTCCTCTGCATCTTGTGAGGTGCTTCAAAACAAATATAAAACCTGCTTCGTATGCTTCTTGGGCCAAAGTGACCCATAAGTTATTTTCTGTTTGACTACTGGTATATCCTTCTGAACACTTAAGATTCAATGCTTCCTTACTAGCCAAGATGAAGTCTTCTCCCACAAATAATATCTGAATGCCATTTCTCCTCATTTCAAAGATTAATAAAAAGCCTCATTAAGTACAAGGTTCATTAAGTAACTCTAAGATTTATGATGATACAGGACTGCTGTACTGTTCCAGGTTAGTAAAATCCTACTTTAATGCTTGCCATCTTATCAAATCCCCCAAAGATACACAGTTTGGGGAATCATCTGAGGGCTTCTTGCTCACATAACAGCTTCCGTGTGGTGATATACTAGAAACAAAATTACTACATCTTAATGTCAGTACCAAACTAACTGAAAACTACATTTAAGTACAAGATACTGAGGCTCTTCTCTTATATCAAGATAAAAATGAATTTACCTGGTCTCCTAAGTTTCTAAGAGAGGGGCCTCCTCCCTTCAGTTGCTACTATCAAAAAGACTAATATGGATTCAATATTAGTATTAACAGAGAGTTTACAAAAGATGCGTACTCACAATGTACTCACGGTTTGAATTTATTTGTCAAACAATCATGTCTACATACTGCCTCTCAGATAAGCTAAGCTTCTTGCAATACTGTTTTCAGAAAGTGGACAGGTAATCTGCACTGGGAAGGTGAGAAAACAGGGCCCAACTCTGCCCTGGAGAAGGAGAGAGGCCTTTGCAGGGAAACCTGCATATCTGACAACCGCTGCACTGCTGATGAATTAGACACTGCTAGCAGACAAGCTGTGTGTTGCATGCATAAACTAGATTGTTGTAAATACAACCAGGTGTTAGAGCACCTTTATAAACTAAGGACATTATGTATGGAACATTACAGCTACTTTGCACCAGAAGATATGGGCTTGCTTTGTATGTCAACCAGGCACTATTCAGCTTTTAGAAATAAGTAATCCTTTATAATGATAAAATTACATAAATTAGAAAGAAAAGAAAAAGGAGAGAAAAAAGTAAATACACTCCACCAGAACATGGAGCACTATATGGGAATGACAACAAACATACAATGCAAATTCATTTTAAATGAAGAAAAATTGAGGAGTGTAGTGACCAGCCATGGAACAGTCAGGCCCCTACATGGACTGCACACTCACCAATATCAAAAAAAGCCCCAAAGTAGCAGCAGAAATCAAAGAACAGATGCAGAAATGGCCACCTACCCACCCCACATAAACAAAAGTGTACATACCAAAAGAATGAAGAACATAAAGAACACAAATGTAGTGAAATAAATTGGTCCCAAAATTCGATTAGCTTCTTCAACCTCTGTGAAGTTGAAGTCTCCCAAAATGATGCGGAACTGAGTAAATCTTAAAAAACAAAACACATCCAGGTGTTGAACAAAAACACTTTCAGAGCTGTGCAAGAATTCTAAAACCATTTTACCATAACAGTCTGACTGATGGGCAGCAGAGAGGTCTGCACTACTATAATACTTTGTCAGGCACTCCAATAGCCAATTCCTCAAACCTACCTCTAGGCATAAGCAAACTCGCAGTCAGATATCACAAACAGAACAAAACTGGGGTGGATACTTCTGACTTTTAGTCAAAACTGATAATAGGAACCACAGAGAGTGGAGCAGAGCAAACCAATGGTTACCATTGTGAAGCTTTAAGACCCACTCCTGTCCCTGTCTTATCACTTCTGCCTCTTGCATACAACCTCAGTGCTCTCCACGTCTCTACAGTGCCAAGGCAGGAAGAGGCTTGGCACTGCACAGCACTGCCATCATATTTCAAGTTCCTTCAAGTTCCTTCACCTCTCTACAAAGAAGTTTTTGCAACACTGCCCCGGTGTAAGGGAAGAGGGGGAAATCAATAACTAAACATTACCCCCTTTAGAATCAAGTTACGTTGCACCAAATCAACTGATTACTGACCCTATATTAAAGTCCAATCTCTCTCTGGATTACAGCAGATACTTACAAATTTACTAGCTGGCTGTCCAAGATGCAATCTGTGAGTCAAAGAACTACACATGCTACCAGGAACACAGTGTTATTACACATACAACATTTCCATAAGCATTAGAAATATAAGTAAGCATATAATGATTCAACTGCTGAAGACAGAGTTACTGCTTTATCTAGGAATGTGACCAACTGCTATAAAACCCATGTCACTTCCACAAATCAAAGCTTGCCATTTTTGGCTCACTGATCAAACTATAGCACATTTTTAATCTCATAGCAAAGACAGGTTTTGAACTAAAAATGTTATTAAAAACATGCACTTGCTACTGAGTTACATCAACAGTGATATGTCTGCAGCTTATCTGTTTAGATGGATGTTATAGGATTTGTCTCTCATGAGGCAACCGAATCTATTTACCAATGAACTGAGAAATTCTTAGCACTTTTGTACTTACATGCAGTCCTGGAAAGTACTGAAGTCATCAATTTGAGTGCCAAAGACAAGATAGGCCAATTGAGCATATGCTAAGAAAATAATAAAAAACATAATAGCAAAGCCAACAACATCTTTGACGCAGCGAGACATGGTAGTGGATAACTGACTCATTGTTCTGTTGAAGTTAACGAATTTGAACAGCTGTCAAAAGAAAACATGACAAAAAACACAACTGTAAAGACAAGGAAAACAACAATTTCTTAACACAACTGTTCTCCAGCCTTTTACATATTAGATATCTTACTTAATTTGATGGGAGACGAAGTCAGATAATTTACATTTAGAAATACACCCTTTCCTAAAAAACACTGAGGCTTGAAATGAGAAGAAAACTCTGTGAGAATGACATTTCTTGTCTAGCTGCAGGGGGTTGCTTGTTTTTCACTCCTGTATTTGTCAGCCAGGCTTCAGAGAAGTGTAACCAAAACACCTCTTGTTTATTTTCAAAGAAGATGTTAGCTACGAAGTAGTAAAATGTGAGAAAAGCAGATCTCACAGCTGACCTAGCTCTGAGCAGGTGGACAGAGACTTCCTGAGGCCCCTCCAGCCTGCATTATTCTATTATTCTGCAGTTTACCATTACTTCCTATAATAAGCCGCTTTACTCCTTAAACCATGATGCAAAATAGACACAGCTTTGTAATTATAAAATGGTAAGAGACAGCTAACTTACTTAATAAACTTAAGTATCAGTTTGGAGTATCATAGTGGAAATTCATTTATCATTGGTCTTGTATTTTTCCCTAGTTATCAGTTTAGTAATTAAATATTCCTCTGCAATGTTATATATACAGAGGACAGGAAATGAACATGGACTTGAAAAGAAATATCACTATAAAGGAGGCAGAAAACCAGAGAAATTAAGTCTAAAGTAATATACCTAGTTTTCAAATGAATTGGACTAGGTTTACCAACACTCTAAAGATTTAGAAACTTTGAATAGATAGAATTGGCACAGTTAAACCAGACTAGGAAGAAGCAGTACCAGTAAGTTACTGACTTAATTAACTCAGGAATAATAAAAACATTTATTTACATTTCTGCTGTGACAAAGCACTAGCACTGACTACATCTTTGAGACTTAAGGCTGATTAAAACTTATGGCAAATTACAACCTTGTTTTCAGCAGCCTGCAAGAAGTTACCCCTGTGCTCTGACTTTCCTTTGTGCCCAATTTTATGAAAAACATAGAATCATATAATGGTTTGGAAGGGACCTTTGGAAGCTCATCCAGTTCCGCCCCCCCGCAATAGGCAGGGAGACCTTCCACTACACCAGGTTACTCAAAGCCCCATCCAGTGTGGCCTTACATGACTAAATCTCAAATCATGTAATCAACAGAATTACATTCTAATGTCAGAATAAGGATATACATCTTGGAGTTACCTTAATCCAGACAAAAAACACAGTGACTGCAGCTATGTTGTTGAATTGCATTTGCCAATATGCCAAAGGTTCAAAATTGGGGAAAGAGTTCTGATCTTCCAGCAGCTTCTTCAGGAGCATATCAACAGTTGATGTTCTGTAGATGCTAATTCCTATAGCTGCCACAGAGAGCTGAGTACAAAAGAAACATACAAATTTACCAAAGGTGATGAGGGTTTTAAAACACTTTGCCATGTATACAGAGTCATAAAGTACATAATCCTAAAGTTAAACAATGTCCACCAGACCAGGTATAAACAAAGTGTTTTATCCCTTTGTGTGAACTGAATTTTATACTCGCACTTGAATATACTTCACTGACTGCAACAGTAAAGCATCTTACTCCTGCCCCTGCCATTAAATATAAGGAACAGCACACAGTTCATGTAAACATCCCCCTCAAACAGCCTTTCATATAAAAAGCACTGTGATACAAGTATGATTTCTCTGGAGCACTGGCTTCAAGACTTAAACCTCTGATACATCCAAGCCTGAAGATAGGAAACAAGAACAAGACTGGGTCTGTTTCAGTATTGCTTACTTTGTATTCTTTTGGCAGGCACAGCTTGACATAAATCCAGAGAGAATTACATATGTATTTTTAAATCAAAGATCATGATTTTCTGTTACACCAAGATTGCTGATGTGCAACGCTGTCCACTTAACCAAGAAAGCAGCCCTGACAGCTGCTAGAACTCTACAATTCGAGACACTTCTTCAAACTTGGTATTAGCTGCTGAGTATTTTAATAACATATAAAATCTCTTTGTGGTTCTCTGCAAACATATTCAAATCCCAGTCCCATTCCTCCAAACATAAATCACTGCTTTAAAGCAGCTGATTTTCTTACTTGAAAGTCACTGCAATAGTCAGTATCAGATCTGTAGAAGAGAAACATGGGCAAGTTTGTTATCTTTCATAATGACTACACCATTATAGACAAAAAGTGTGAGGAAGCACACTGGAGAAATACTCTAATTTTTCAGCAGGATGTGAAGGTTGAAACCAACAAAGAGAAAAAAAGCAAGTCTGCAAAATACATCAATATTACAACACAGACTAAAATAGTCTTATTCAGATTGAATAGCCCGTTAGACTGTAAGTATCCTTCCTAATAATATTCCTATCCCTTAAAGCAATACTGAGTCATTAATGTCACTCACAAAGGGCATTTCAGAAAGTAATTTTAGCCTTATTATAAAGATTACTTACCACAATGATAAGAACATCAAGGCAATTCCAAAGACTTCTGAAGTAGTGCAATCTATGAATGTGAATTTCTAAAATCTCTTCCACCATGTAATAAAGAACAAAGAGACAAAATGCCATTTCACAGGCTGCCAGGAAAAAATCAAAAGTGGAGATGTAGTGAATCAGCCTCACTGGCTGAAATTGCCAAGATGTAACAAGGCCTCCAGTCGCTGGAAACTCCACTAACAACCTGCATCAAAAACCAGAAAAAAGGGCAAAGAATAAAAGATTTCATTTACACAGCATTGATGAAAAGCACAGTGAAAATACATGGGTTTATTTCCATAATTATTTAAATAATGGAAACAGGCAAAAGCCCACATTTGATTCAGCAAAGACACTACACAGAACAGAAGGTGTAAACCTGACCACACTCAATTCTGACTAAAATCCAAAGCATTTCAGGAACAATGAGATAAACAGAGACAGAAAGACCTGTCTTCATCTGCATTTGCTTCATGGTGTTGAAAAGACTGATGTTGTGTATCCACATATTAATAAGTCAACTCTCTAGAGAAGTCGCCTGCAAACTGCACCCAAGCTGCTGTAGCATCAGCAAAGCCAGAACTGTCTCCAGACAATGAGTGCAGCTTCCATGTGGAGTCTCACTTCTTTGACAGGGAGGCATCCCATTTCAGTTGTTTGCCTCCTTTATGCAAAACACTTACCCACGTCCTGAAAACAAAGCAATCACAAGAAAACCCCAAGTCAATAACTGACACTGTGCAATTTGAACACTCTTATGGCTCTGTTCATACCTCACAATGCAGAATAGGTTGATGTTTGCATTGTATACAGAGAAATCAATGAAAGCTGCTCTGGTCCCTCTGTCAAGCCACAGGTTCTTCTTAAGGCTAGCAATCTGCACAGCTGTCACTTCTCTGTTCCTTGAGAGGTCTTGGTAATAACCAGCCCCACTGTAGGTGGCAATCAAGCCCCAGTGGCTGCTCCCATTCAAATCCTTCTCATTGGTGTACGTCCAACTAGTTCAGAAGTAAAACAGAGCACATTAGTCTTTCCATTTGCAACTTACGATTAAGAAAACAGACACCACCAAAACCTGACCAAAAAAACGTATCAGTTACTTAAAGCCATTTAAATTTAAGAGGTACTTGTAGAAAGTTTTGATGTACCCTGGAGAAAGATCTTACAAAGTTCCTTTGACTAACACAACAAAATGAAGATAGAAAAATGGGTCACAAGTATATTAACTGCCAAAAAGAAAATACATTTATCTAGTCACACAGAATTTTTCCTAAGGGAAAGAAAGAAAATTCTTTTCCACCTCCAAAACTTTTCACAATTAACTCACAAATTGTCCTCCAAGAGAGGCAGTGCTATTCCCATTTTTAGCTAGGAAAGACAACTCAGTGAAACCCACTGCAGTAATACAATCTGGAATTACAGAACAGGCGCTCACCAGTTGTAGGGCTGCACTCAGACCACAGAGTGTCTCCCATGCATAAAATGGTATAACGGCAGCACCTCAACTCAAGTGGGTAAGAGCACAGTGCTGTCCAAGTTTAGTAAGGTTTCTCCATGAGCAGAACTGGCAACTGCTCATTTTACTAGGCTTTACAGACAGAACAGACAATAAATGCAGAGTTGCCTCTGCCAAGTGACTTATTGTGTAATTCAGCATAACCAAGATCAGAAAAAAAAAAATCTATGTGAATACAGGAATACTACGTACGCTGTTCCATTTCGAAGTCCAAACGGAGCAGTATCTTCATTAGCTACAGAATAGACATCATAGCAGTCCTTGATTTCTTCCTTTAAATCTTCAGGTATTGAGCATGAACCATTTCTCACTTTCAGCTGCCGAATACGAGGTACCCCAAGGAGCAGGTTCTCATAATAAATGAAGCTTTTGTTTTCTGCCATGGTTTTGTTGTTGTACCACATTTCCCAGTAGAGACCATCCAGCAAAGGGCCTTCTGTGAACTGGGGAATAAGACAGGATTTCAGTTTGCATGTTTCCATCACGGTTTTTATAGATCTTCATTCCATGGATGTGTTAGAATGGCAGTTGTTAATTTTTCTGACATAAAGCCTTACCTGTCCTCCAAAGACATTCACCTTGCCTCACCCTGGCCCTTCAGCACTGCCTGGGTTCTAAACTTTCACGTATTAAAGGCCAACTCTGTTCCATAGCTTTGACACATAGATCTCCATGCACAACCACCACCACATTAGAAAAAAGATCCTGGTAGGTTAAATACACAGGACAAGCATATCACAACAAAAGAGAGATAAAAACTTGGGCTTAGATTACCTTCCAGAAGTCGTCCATTGTGGATAAAGTTTTGAAATCAGTTTTCTCCATTTTTGATACAGGTGTTTCCAGGAAGAGCTGCGACATGACCCTTGTGTAATAATACATACTGGAACTCACTGTCCCGTAAGTCACTGCAAAAGATTTAGTTAAGAATCAGAGGAAAAGGGTAGGGGAAAGATAAGAGAAAAAAAAGGGAAAAGAAAAAAAAAAAAGTATCTTACTTTTCTTGTTGAAATTTTATAGACTTTGCACCAAAAAGTTTAAGCTTCAGAGCAAAATAAAATCCACACCAAGCAGCATTTGTCTTTCAACTGTGAGTAAGACATAGAAAGCAGTGAAGAACAGTCTGACCAATGAGTTTAAAATACTCAGTTCTCCTTCCCACACCTCATTCTATTATTAAAGTTTCTACAAAAACTAACTTCAGGAAAAAAAACCTGCATGATTCAGCAGCCTGAAGAGTGCCTTTTTAGGTGACTTGTACTATCTAAGGCATCATAGAGAGCTGGCACAGATGGCATGAGATCTCAGGAAAACTATGCCCTGCTTGAGCACATAATAAGTCAACCAGGATACTGCAGGGCACTGTGAATGACATTAGCTGCCTAGGGTTGACAACGAAACCCCACCCAAGATATGCAGCGCTTCTAAGATAATCTCCCCACAGAAAATACATGACTCTGTGTTACTCTTACACTGGGCAGAACATTTGGCTGATGATGGCCAGAGCATAAATTATAAAATGACGTACAAAGGCAAGATGGCTTCAGAGAATGGTCTCTGGCTCCAATAACATCACTGCTTATAAATACTTAAAGCCATTTTGTGACAGAAACTCAGAAAGGCCTGAAAGATTAATTCTACACCAAACAATCTCCATCTGTTTTGACAATTTTATAGAAATATTTTGTCTTAGGGAAGAAAATGTGAACAAGAACTATTTTTAATAGACTTCTGCTCTGCTCTCAGAACCAGTCTACCCACGTAGTTTTGCTTTTTCTTTCCACTCCACAATTCTCTCTCACCTAAATAAAAACATCACTCCATTCTATCACAACTGATCATAAACGACAACTTAAGTGTCACTGACATTTCAGGCATATAGAACAGAATTGCCCACACTAAAAACTGAATGCTTGAAACATACCGGCTTTCCAAAGATACACTAACTTAATGCATACAGATTATTCTCCTAGTAACCAAATAAAACATCTATTTCACACTTCATCATAAGTTCTATTTTGCATCAACTTCTAATTTTTGTGCAAATACACGAACATGCCTCATTTGAAGTTCCCAAGGCCAAAGACGGCTGCTCTCAGAACCGTTACATTATACCATATCTATTATACATTATACCAACTGTTCACAGTGCTGTGTGAGGCTTGTGATAAATCTCTATCTCTGCACCAGCATCACTAAGGTTCTTCACCTTGAGAAAAGAACAGCAAACTCTGTTCAGGATACTCTCTTAAACTCCATTTAGGTCCAGGAATATAATTCAGCACGAGGCTGGTGATCCATCAGGCTCCTCACTTCTGTACTAAGTCCGTATTTAGTAGAATCTGCTCATATTCAGTGTCAATTCTAGAGCACCTACTTTCAAGCAATCACCTACTTAAAAGCCAAAAAAAAAAAAAAAAAGTAGGTTGACTGTTACCCTTTTCTGTGTTCTATAGTGTTACAATACTTCATATGACATCATAGACATCAAAACAAATAACACACTTATATCATGGAAGTCTCCAGCTGTGATCCATATACACTTGAGTACATGTAGGTTACAGATGCATTTAGAATGTCCAGCATCATGCAAACACAAATTATTAGGTATTTCTAAGTAGCTGGCATCATCTCTGCCTTTCCAGCAACCGTCAAGAGCTTTTATTCTTAGAATGATCTGTACATAAGCTTGGAGAGAAATTCAAAACTCAGTGATGTAGTTAATTTTTAGTCCCAGATGATAACTCAAACTCTTCACATTTAACAGTTCTGTTCAGCAATTTCAAAATGTGTAGCAGAACCATTACACTGCAGTGTGGTACTACATTAAAAAAATACTCCTTAAAAACAAAGAATATTACCACCCTGCTTAAAGGTTCAAAATTTGTGAAATTACAGAAAGTTGCAGTACTTTAAATCTCAAGCAATAATCCATGTGCAGAAGAATTAATTCCCAGTATTTGCCTATGCACCTGCCCATTAATTCTTCTCCAACATCACTGAAACAATCTTCATTCTGGAATTACAAACAGCAAGCAGTACAGAAATGGATACACATAATGCTGAATGGTACTTACAGACACACAAGACCACAAGGAAAACCATGTACGTAACCAACTCCCGTAAAACACTTTTCAGGTATCGCTCTCTGCTGGTGTTGCTTTCTTCCATGAGTCTTGTTCCCCATAGACCTTAAAAGGAAAACATATATAATGATGCATACAGATGTCTACATAAGCAATGTAATAAGGTTGTGAAAGCTTAACCCGTCTGCTCCAGGTTCTTCTCTGGACTTTAAACCAATTTAAGGTCAAGCAAGAACTTCTTCCATACACTGAACAGGGCCTGAGACAGTATTAGCTATTCATAAGATACCATAATAATCTATTAACAGCTCAGCAGAACTCTGAACAGATTCTGCTGAAGATTTGCCAGAAGTGCTGTCCCCTAAAGCCACATGGTAGGAAAACAAATACAAGTATACAAAGACAGACAAACAGAGTCATCCTTCAAGAAATTATTTGTTTGGGGTTTTTCTTTGTGGTTTGCTTGCTTTTTAATATGAAGAGCATTCTTAGATGAATGAAAATGCATGATCAGTATTTAAATTTTATTAGGAGGCTTAACTAACTTTCTACCTGAAAGGGTATGCCCCTGCCCATGGTACAGGGGTTGGAACTAGATGATCTTCAGGTGCTTTCCAACGCTAATTATTCTATGATTCGATGTCAACCAAACGTATTTTTTAAAGAACAAGTTGTAACCATCCTCTCCTAGATAGGCAAGGCATGTCCAACAGAGACATAGGAGGGACCTTGGTAAGTATTTCTATATGATTTCTTTCCTTGCATATCAAAGGATTATCACAGAAACATTAAGTAGCAGCCTAAATGAGCAACTGCTGCCTGTCAAACTGGGCAACTGCATTAGCTGAACTATTTCCTCCTGTTCCTAGCTTCACGTTCTCAAGAAGACAGTGTAAGAGAAGCTACTGAACTTGTGTGATCCTGTCCAAAAGGGTTACGGAAAAGCAATAGGATCTTCCAAACTGTGTCTCTGAAAGAAACAATAAAGAAACAATCACCTGAAAACAGAAAGCAGTTAGTAACCACCATACTTATTTCCTATGCCTAATACAGGACAGAAAAAAAGCTGGGAACAGCTGCTGATGCATAGACCAGAACTGCTACCTTCAAGGAACTTCTCTTCATTTAAACCTAAATAAAGCAAGGTGATTTGACCTTAGTTTATGGTGAGAGAGAAAGTATATACAAATAAAAATTCACTGTAGAGAAGTGCACCAAACTTACACTCTTTTCCTTTGCAGCTATTTTAAACAGCCAAACTTTTAAAATGCCCCATATGTTCTCAGTAGATGGAAATGAAGTAACCTCAAACTCCCTAGGAAAAAATCCTGGATCCATCAAACATACCACAGTAATTTTAAATCAAATGGAACAGCAACAAGGGATAGCCAAAACACACTATAAAGCTCACAAACAATCAAGAGTTCAGTTGCTTTGCAACTGCTGCTGTAAGACTACACGGACAAAGGGCTCATCTGCCTGCTGCAGAACCTCATTTGCTAACAAAGAGATGTGAGTAAGGAAGCTCTTCCCTCTAACTGCAAATATGAGGTGTATTCAGGAAAAAAAAAAATGTGTCAGATGATTTTAGGAGCCTTTCAGCTACCACATATTTAAGTTGCGACCTAACCACAAAGTCAACCAGGAAACTTCTCTTGCATAGGCACAGCAAGCATTAATAGTCTTAGCATTAATTTCTCTTCACATTCCTTTAGCAACTTACAACCTCCACTAGTGTCAGCCTCCAAAACAAGAGAGCCTTTTCAGAGCTGTTCTCTAAGCCTGGAAATTTACAGATAAAGACTGCAACTTTACTGCACAGAATGCCAAATCCTCACCATTAGGTCATTCTTGAAGACAGAAACACAAACCCAAGAACATTTAGAGAGTCACATAATAAAGAACTCAACAAATAGAGCCTTTAGCACAGCACTACGTTGCACTAGCAACCCTCATAATAAAGGCAGGAAAACATTACAGAAGAGAGGAAGAAAAGGCTGCAACAGGCAGTGAGCTAAGCTGGCGAGGGAGCCGAATCCCGGCTGTCAGCACATTACTCACCAATAAGAAATGTGGTGAGCAAAAACCTTGCAAGCTCAAATTCTGTCATACTAGAATCTTGTTAGGGCTCAGCCAGGAGCAGAAAGTTACATGTGAATAAAAGAACAAAACAAAACCCAGCACCAGAGATCATACAATGAACTTTGTGTTAAATGAGCTCTGGATTTATGTGTCAGCTACAAGCCCCTTTTTTAGAAGACACACACATTGTTCTCCTTTCGCATTATTAGAATATTGGTTTAGATGCATCAAGAACAGTGGTGGTAAGCAGTGCTGAATTTAAGTTGACATCCACTGCAAGCACCAAACGCACTTCATTTCTATCCATTTTCAGTCCATTCCTTATGTAACTTTTCTATTGATCAACTTTTTGATAAAATCTATGTACGCTTTATCAAACAAACCTGAAACTAACAATTCTCTCACACTCATTCTGTAGTCCAACTGGCTTACTCAAGGAGTATATGAACTCAGAAGAGTTGTCAAAAAATAACGATCAAATGCAAATAAAAGATGAAATTTCAAACAATAAAGTCTAGCTCATTAGGTACATGGGAGATTAAAGTATTTCTGTTTATATATATATAAAGTGTTATATAAATATATAAACACACATATATAATGTGTATGTACTTATACACATAATCACAAAGCCAAGTTTATAAGGTACAAAGCGCATATAAAATAATTCAGACTTGTGTGAAAGTTAAGTTCTGAAAGCACCCAAACCAAAATACGTATCACTAATCTGCCTACACACAAATTCAGATGCTGGGGAAACAATGGGGCTAGGGGAAAGAGAGGAAAGTGACCATCAGGCAAAGATGCTTTGCCCCCAGACAACAACAAAATAGTCTCAAATTCCTTAGTAAGGTATAGTCAGAGCCTACACTAGTTCAAGTCAGTAAAAATGTCATAATGCATTCTTTGTGAAAGTAACAATTAATGACTGGAAATATCTGATGCTTCCATTTAGCAGTAATTAAGAAAACCTTTCAAGAAATATCCCGCATATGCTCCTTAGTATTGATACACGAGGACACAGTAGCACTGGGTGACCAAGTACAACTCTGAGGGGCAGACCTTTCCAGCTTGGCTCTGGAAATGGACTTTGCTCTTACCCATCGAAACCATCTCCTTAACAGAACTGGATAGTCATCCCCTCCTCTCCTCTCCTCTCAGCATCTGGGGTGTTTGCTGAAGAGATGTGCAAAACTAGGGGGGCTAAAGCTAAAGAGTTAGAATCTGAAAAGAACCCACAAAGAGAAAAACCTAAGATACAGGTAGTCTGAAGTAGCTTTCTCTTCACTTAGGAACTCATGTCTGCTATCTCCCCTGTAGTTGCAATTATAAAAAATCCCATCATCTTAATCCTCTCTGCTTTTTTATTTCACAACTGACAGCAAGGAAAGTGTAAGCTGTCATTCAATATCCTTCAGTTCATGCATGGCAATCTGTTTTGCCATGGTAATTCTATCACTTTTGATATCCAAAGGATTAATCCCTCTGGTTGAATTCTGTCTAGTGAAATGGAATTTCATTAAATAAATCTATGCTAACTTCTCTTTAGTCATCTTGAAATAAAATTTAATAAGAAGTATGCCCCTTTCTAGTCTTCAAAGATGAAACATCAAAATAACTACTGAGTGCTCTTTCCAGTATTAAAACCTCTCTTATCCTTTAAGTGCTCTATATTAATTTCAAGTCCTTTCACTGCGTAGCCTGCAGCAACAGCATTCTTCAGAAGTTAGTTACCTACACAGCAGGCAAGTACAGCACCCTGCAGTACCTCCACAGCAATAAAGTTACACCTAGCCATTTACTGTGGTTATGAATTAATGGCAACATTCCCATGAAAGAGCCAGAAAAGAATCTGTCTACTACAGTAACTTTGGCTACACCTCCCTACAAACACAAAATGTACGCAGGTCAGGAATCAACAGGAACTGTGGATAGTAACCGCAGGGATAAATCCACTCCTAACATTCCTATAACATGAACCCAAGTCTTTTCATTTTACAGCCAAAAATAGAATACTACCAGTGTACGCTATCTCCAACAGCAAGAGGCAACTTGGTCCACGGCCATTATTGAAAATATTGGTTTTCTTAAAACTGCAAGAATGTGCAACTTTGCACCATTCTCCACACATCACACACTTGATTAATCAGCTCACACTCAGTAGTGTAAAAGAACCACACTAGTTGAAAGGATGCATAACGTTACGACGTCAAAGGTGGTTCTCATCTTTCAGAGCTCAAGCTATGGACATGCATCAGCTCCAAAGTGATTAATCTAGCCCCAGATACATTGCTTTTAGGCAGCAGGACAGGCCCCTGACAGCACAGGGCCAAGTATCTTCTCTGGCAACATCTGCCTGATGCTGATGAAGACTCATTCTGCCCAGCACAGCATACAGCTTCACCAAAAGCTGATTCCTCTTTGTTCTGCTGTGCAACTGAACAAGGTTGAAACAAGGTGAAAATACACAGACAACCTTAAAACAAACAAATAAAAAGCTAGAAAAAAAGCATATTAAGAATAAGCATCTTTCCTTCACCCTAAACCACCCCTAAGTGCAGATAAACTATAGGTGATTCAACAAATCTATTACAAAGCCTTTGTTAAATTATATCTCGGGGGGGGGGGTGGGGGGGTGGTGGATTTTCCTTTCATCTGCAAATACTCTGACCTTACAAAAATCACATGCTATTAAGCTCTGACTTCAGGTTCAAAACGGCTCAGAAACCAACACCAAGATCAGTCCTAGTGTGGATGATCTGTTTTGAGCATTGTTGCAGAAATCATGACGGAGATGAAACAGGAGTAACTCATGTCAGATCATCATGAAGCCACTCTCACCTCACGTTCAAACACCACTACTTTTCACCGCAGTTAAAAGCACATACAGGAGGTTCCTTCTTGGCAACAACTAGTATGAAGGGAGCATCTGAAAAGTCTACTTAGGTGAGAATTTTCATGAAAGGACTTCACTTTCTCCATGCTAAGCAGCTCCTTTCCTAGGCATTTACGTATCTCAGTGACAGACTAAATTAAACACACCTCCGAAAACTCTAGAGCAGTGTCATTCCATGCATAACACATAAAACCATTCTACAACTGACATTTTTTTTCCCCAGCCATTCTGGTCTCTTTTTATGAGGAGACGTAGTTCATTGAACACTCTCCCAATAAAATCTGCTGAAAACATGCTTTATTCCATAGTCTCCGTAAATCTGACTTGCATCCAAGTAAAAAACTGCAATGATCAAGACAGGCTTACTTTGGTGCAAGACTAAGGCAGAGAAATCATTATAGCAAATGATATCTGAATGCACATGAAAAACCAAAGTGAAGCATACAGGGCACGCAACAGCCTAATTTACAAAGCCCTGCTTAAAATCAAGTTCATATTGACACCTCTGCTGACGCTATGCCAAGCAGTAACAGTACAAGCACTTCAGAACACTCGCATTTTAGAAGGAACCTTATTTCCTAACTATGGCTTCCTTCTGCAGATTTATATATATTTTGTCTGACACTTAAGCAAATCCTACATTTAAAACCTTCACGATTTGATGCTGGCATTTTAAGCTTCTCTAAAAAAGTAGCCAGGACTAAGACCTGGGAGGCAGAGCTCTATGCTCCAGAGGAAACCAAGGCGAAAAGGGTGTGTGCATCTGGGACGGGAGAGGGGGGCATAACCAGGGCAGAAATGGGAATACACATGTGCATAAAGCGGGGACACAAACATGGATGGACTGACGGGAGACAGGAAAAGAACAGGGACAGAGGAAAGAGGATAGGCAGCAAAGGGGTGGGTGAAAGAAAAGGCACAAGGGACCACAAACAACCCATGAACGCTCCCCTCGCCGACAGTCCGCAGTAAAGGGCAGCCCAGCAAGACTCGGAGCCCCGCTCCGGCAGGAAGGGCCAAAGGCTCTCACCTCGCAGCCGCCGCGCCAGTCGCTTGGCCCAGGCCGCCCGGCGGGGCGCGGCGCCGTCGGGTGGCACCTGGTGGCGGCTCGGCACCTCCGTTCCGCCGCGCCCCGCGGGGACCCGCCGCTGGCGCCGCCCGCCGCCGCCCATGCCCGCCGCGCCGCTGCCCAACGACGACGAAGCGCCGGCCGCGGGGCTGCCCCACTCCACGTCCATCTCCAGCACCGGCCCCGCCGCCGCCGCTCCCTCCTCCTCCGGCTCGAAGCCCGGGTTGTCCCGGCTCCAGGCCTGCCGCGAGCAGGCGGAGAGCGGCGGCGACGGCGGGCAGGAGCCGGCCCGCGCCGCCTCGCCCAGCCGCTCCAGCTCCAGCTGGTCCCTTCCGCGCCGGCAGCCCCCACTGCCCGCCATCGGCCAGCCGCCACCACCACCGCCCGGGGCGGGGCACCCCCGCCTCCGCCCTTTCCCCGCCCGCCGGCGCCTGCCCGGAAAGCCCAGGGTACGGAGGGAGATGTAGTTGCTCGGCCTCCTTCCCTCACGGGGGGCGCGGCCATTGGGCCAGGCCAGGCCGAGCCGAGCCGTGAGGCGGGAAGCCCGAAGGCCTGGGGCGCGTCAGTGGAAGCGGTGCAAGGGCCGGCACCAGCACGCCGCTCAGCCTCGGTAAAAGCTCCACGGAGGGGTTTTATCTACTTAATAAATAAAATATCAGCTATTTCATTTTAAGGAGAGGGATTACAACTCCTCACGCAGCCGGGAAGCTGCCCTCTGACCCAACCCAGGAAACGGTAACACAGCCCACAGCTACAGGGTTTTGTGTGTTTATTTAAATCCAGTTACAGCAAAATACAGGCTGGCGGTACATACAGCAGCATGCCACAGGGGTAACGCTCGTTCTGTGCGCCTGACAGCATCAGACTCGCTTCCCCATGCACTTGCAGCCAAGGGGAGGCCACCGGGTAAAAGAAGCTGTCCCGACCCCCAAAAGTCACCACGCGCTCTACATTTACAAACAGTTACCAGACACGAAGCTACCCTCCCTCCCCTTAGGTAGGAATTGGAAGAGAAGGGAAACGTTACATCTGCCTCCCTTTAAAGAGTGACTTCGTTGTTCTCAATGCTGTGACCGTCTCGAGCATCCTCGGCACTTTCCAACGTTTGGTTGCTGTTATCGTCAGGGATCTCAGCGGAAACGCGGACCTGGCTCTCCCTGCTTTCCATGCTGTGGTGGCTATCCTCTCTGACACCAGCCTTGCTATCATCATCCGCCTCATGGCTATCGAACTTCTGCTGGCTGTCATTTTCCAGGCTCCGGTCACGCTGCTTGCTGTCCAGCTCGCTGCTGTCTTGCCCATGGCTCTTGTCAGCCCATTCCCTGCTGATGTGCTTCACCAGGGAGTGGCGGGCAGCAGGATGCTCCTGGGAGAGCCCCACTTGCTGGCTGTCTGCATCCAGGGCGCTCTCATCCTCCTCGGTGGCATCATAGGCAATGAGCTGTGTTAGAGACCAAAACAAGAACCATTATCACTCCTGAGAAACTGACCTGTCAACAGGTGCTGCTGTACTGTACCAAAGCAAACTGCATAGGGTGTTGGAGCACTCAAAGCCTGCATGATGCACCTCTGCCTGGAGACACTGTGTTCTTTTATGGGGTTACATGAACCTTTCACATAACAAGAAATTCCAATTTGAACTTGCCCTCAGATTTTGTGTGTGCAAGTAGAGCATGATAGTTCAAACGGTAGTATTGCATAGCTTGCAGCAACGGGCTACACTCCTACCTCAGCACACCACCAGCCATAAGCAGGCCCTGTTTTGGGATATCCAGAGAAAGGAAATACATTCCTTCACTTGCGCCTACCTTCCCCTCACCAATCCTTTTCAAAACTGACATGTCCATTTTAAAGATTCAAGTTCACTATCCGTTTTCCAAAATCTGGGTACCAATGCTCACCACTATTTACCTTCTTTGCAGCTTTGCGGAGTTTGCTAGATTTCACCACTGAGGCTTTTGCCCTCATTCTGTAGGCCACGCTGTCGCCTCTGCCAGCATTGTCTCCCCGGGTGAAGGGGAAAGGTGGGAATGGTGCAGTTACGGGAATGTCTGTGGGAAAACTTGTGACAACCTCATCGGATTCATCTGTGTCATTGGAATCATTATCATCATCATCATCATCCACATCTTCATGGCTCTTGCTTGACACATCAGGGAACTGCTGGAAAACATTCATTACGCATCAGGCAAATGAAGACTTACGTGAGATGTGCAGCCTGGTATCTGTTCTGCTCACCCAGAGCTTATGCAGTGTTGAGGAGCTGTTCTGCTCACCCTCCCTGAAGCTCTGGGGCTTTTTTTTTAGAGAGAGATGTTATCACAAGAACCACGATCAATTGAGGAAAATGCGTGTTGCTACACACTGGCTGTCCTGCAGCACTCAACTGACGTTTTACTGTTCAAAATACTTACCTGTTCTGGGACATCCACACTTTCCTCTGAAGAGTAGAGAGTCTGAAAACAACATAAAACTCACTATTAGCACACAAAGACACGTACAGTAGAGCTGATCAGTATGTTGAATATTCTTTAAGCACTTAATCCTAAATTGAAAAATGCTCTGCTTTCTCTTCCAGTCAGTTGCCTGTACCTGCTGAGGTGACGCCAGGTCATTCTGTGGCTGTTGCAGACTCTCCCAAGACTGAGAATTCACGTGGTGGTATCTTCGTGAGTGATGGCCCTTGGGGTCCTTCAAGAGAAAACAAAAAGGTGGGTTAAATCCACAAAGAAGCATATAGGAGCAGGCAGAGCTGCCTGCATCACAATCTCTGTTTTCAGACAGATGTGACATCTGCAATACATACTCCTGCGCAGGATGTGTCCTCAGCAATTCACTGCGGTAAGAAGAGGACAATATAATACAGAAGATGTGCCTCTCCCACTGGCAGAATCTGGGGAGCTTCAAATCAGTTTCCCTGGCTCACTTTCACTGAGTGAAATTTGGAGCTATTTCTAATGACCATAATTTCTTCCAGTTCTCATGCCTTTTTCCCAAGAGTGATTTATCTCTCACATGAAAAAGACTTGAAACTAAATGCAGTAGCCAGTTCTTCAAACAAAAAGTTGATTTTACATGGATAGTAGCTAGCAGTGGAGCATAAATCAAACAGTTACATATAAGGTTAATGCAACTCACTCGCACCACTCAAAAAAAATAATGGGAATTGGGTTAAAGTCTTGAATTGGTGTCTCCCAACACCAAATATTGTCATCTGATCCACAGTAATGAATGTGGATTATAATAGTTGTGCCATGTTGTAGACCTTTTCGCTTTTTAACTGACAGCTTTCACATTTTTCATTAAGAGAAAAGGTTTCCAGTGCTGGTCCAGAGACTAACAGAAGTCCACAGCCAGGATGCCTAACAGGCAAAACTCTGCTGATGTTGGTGTCTCTCCTCTTTGGCTGCCTGAGGAGCTGGCTTATAACAGCTAGGTGAGGACAAGTTCTGCAAGCAGCTACAATCATAAAACAAGCATCAGGCAATGTGTATTAGAGGAAAAAAAAATATAAAAAAGGATTTATTAAAGAAAATTAATAGAAAGACAAAAGGAGCTTACATATTTTTCTTCAGAGCTGGCAGAAATGGCGTGCTGCTTGGTTTTACTCACCTTCAAGGGAGAGAGGAAAAATGCATTTGTCAGTATTAATTTCTTGCTAACATACAAAGAAAATACACAATTTGTGTATTTTGTGATTTACTTACTGGCCATGCAGCAGTGATGCTGATAAGGCATAAACACAGAACTGCCACCTTCATTGTGATGTTTTACCTACAAAATATTTTGGAACAGTGAGTCAACAAGGTAAAATACCACAGAAATACCACAGGTGTTTTCTCCCTTCTGGTGTACTTCACTGTGCTGAGACCAGGTCTCTGCTAAGGATTCAACCTGTCCATTGGTGATCTTATTCCTCTGTCCTCCATCACCACCCCACATGCAGTTGGTTTTGTAATGACTTAGCAACTCAAAAGCTACAAGGATTTTAAAACCAGGTACTGGGAAGTGCTGAGCAGTGGTGAGAGTAGCCACAGAAGGTGAGGAGTCTCCTGTCATCTACTGACTTGAGCTGGCAAAGGAAAAGCTTTGTGAAAAACAAAGTGCTATGAAGATAGCTTTGGGTTATCTTTGTTCATTTAACATCATTTTGCCAGAAGAGACAGGACAAGACAAACTCAGCTTGGGTTCTCTCTTCAGTTATTTTAAACCTACTTTTCGGGGTTATTAACTGGAGTTGCTGTGAGTAAATTCAGTCTATATGAGCATAAACTGCTTTATTGATGGACCTTTATTTCCCCCTCCAGAAGTTTGAGCAGAATCACCTGTGTTTCCAAGCAAGAGATGAAATGAAATATCTGCTCACATTGCAGCTTTAACAATTTAGTAAATGAGTGATTCATGCTGAAATTAGGAGAGTGCTGAGCTGCAGTAAATTCCGGTGCTGATAGACCAATTCCCAGGATAAGGAACATCCCTGAGAAATTAAACTGATTTATTGATGAACAAGAGGCATTTAAAACTTCAGTATATCATAGCGGGAAAGAAAGGCTACTAAGGGCACATTTAAAATACATTAGTAAGGCTGCTCCTGAGACAGGACACTCAATCAAATGTGTTGCAATTTCAAGAGTTAAACAGAGAAGGGTGTGTGTCCCATCCATTCAGTAGTGTACAGCACAAGCTGCAAGCCTGCCAAGAGAAACAGGGGCACTGCCAGGCAGTGGTTAAACAAGGAAGGAAGCTTTCTGTGTTCAAGTATCAGCTTTGAGCTTCCAGCACTTGATTCAGTGGCAAGGTTTTCTCCTCCCAACATCTATCAGCACTCAGGTTTAAATTGCTATTATGTATAATACCTTCATCGCTAAAGCAACTTTGCTCCTATAAAAGCACACCTTTTTCCATAGAGAAACATCAAACATCCCTGACCAGTGAAGCAGTTTTCAAAGATCTCCTGCCCAATGCTCCCTTGACTAAAGCTTCAGACAAAATCACACATAATCAGGTAAAAAGAGAAAAAAATACTACCTTTTGTGGTGCTGGAGGAGTCAATTGCAACAACAGCACTCTTGGTGATCCCAGTAGCTGCTCCAGCCAGTTGGTTCCCAGCAGCTTGGGCTTTCTCCCCTTGTCCCCTGTCTGCCTAACATCTCTGATCTCGGGGAATTTAAACCCTGTTCCAGGCACAGCCACCAATCCCTGTGAGGCGGAAACAGATGAGGTCATGAGGTTCCTGGCCGCAGTCCTGCCCATGTTCTCCTACACTTCCTCTTTGGCTTTGTGGCTTTTGAAGCAAACAAAAACTGCTCTATGGTTAAAACATTACTTATGGGCAAGATCATTAACCAGCAGTTCTGTTGAATGCACAGCATTTGGTTGGT